GTGCTGTGGTCACTCAAGGCCAGGACTGTCCTGGACCACTTTTGGGGTGGGGAGAGGGGTGGGGCAGGGAGCGATTCTCCTGGGAGGGCAGCCTGTGGGCTGGGAAGAACTTCCAAATGTGTCTCTGCAGCAGCTGGGGGGATCCTGGGTGAGGCCACCAGGAGCCCTGGGGGACCTGACTGTTTGGAGCAATCAGGGAGGCTGGCATTTTGGGGGTGACATCTGAGCATCCTGAAGTGAGCAGGAGTGGCCAAGTGGGGAGGGGTGTGCTCAGATTGGAGGGCACGGGATATGCCAAGGCCTGGGGGTGACCAAGGTTGGGCTGCCCCAAAACTGGGCTAGGAGGCGGGGCGGGTCATTTGTCCAAAGCACCAGTGATGAGGCAGCTGGAAGGGGAGGGGTCGGCGGCCTGGACACCCGCAGGAGCAGCTGGGGCTGGGTGGGCTGAGGGCCCTGACGCTGAGCCAGAGACGCGAGGCGGTGACGAGAATGTTGGGGAACTTTGAGAACATCTGGGGAGGCAGACAAGTACTGACCAGAGATTAGGCCTGGGGCAGACCAGGACAGGGACACTTGGGGACTAGCTCTAAGAATACCTCAACTCCGGAGCCTTTCCTAACCATGTTGCTTCTGATGACAAGAGTGATGCTCGGTAGGAAAGATCTGTCAGAAAAGGAAAAAGAACAAACAAGAAGAATTGCTCCCTCTGCTACAGCCCTGGAACCTGTTGGTTCTCTGCCCCGTCTGCCTCAGGGCCTTTGCATGACCAGTCTCCTCTGCCTGGAACACCCTCCCCCCAGCACTCTGCATGGCTGCCATCTTCCTTCTTTCCAGTCTCCTCGAGGTCTCTGCTCACACTCTGTAGAGTGCTTACTCTATCCCCCTGCCCGTTTCTGTGGTCTTCAGTTTTCCTCCATTTAGAAACCAACCTGCTCACTTCTTTCATTACTGCCTTGTGTCTCTCCTCCACCCTGACGTGTAAGACCCAGGGGAGCAGGAATCTCCTCTTCTTTGACTCCTAAATTGGGACCTGGGCTATAGGTGGTGGTCAGTAAATGTGAGTTGAGTGAAAAAATAATTCCTCTGCCAAATTTGCCACTCCGAGCCCTTGAGAGTATGTCCTGCAGCACACGGTCCCTGGCACTCACCCAGAACAGCCTCTGGTACTGACAGGCGATTTTAAAGGGACCAGAGAGGGTGTCTGGGTGGGGTCAGATGATCAGGAAAGTTCCATGAGGACACCATGTTTCAGTCTGTCCTTCTCAGCAGATGGGGATAGGGATAGAGAGGGAGATGAGGATGGGGGTGGGGATGGGGTTGGAGATGGAGATGGAGATGGAGGTGGAGGTGGAGGTGGAGATGGAGGTGGAGATGGAGTTGGAGGTGGAGGTGGAGGTAGAGGGGGAGGTGGAGGTGGAGATGGAGGTGGAGGTGGAGATGGAGATGGGGGTGGAGATGGGGTGGAGATGGAGGTGGAGATGGAGATGGAGGTGGAGGTGGAGATGGGGGTGGAGGTGGAGGTGGAGATGGAGGTGGAGATGGGGGTGGAGGTGGAGGTGGAGATGGGGTGGAGATGGAGATGGAGATGGGGGTGGAGATGGAGGTGGAGGTGGAGATGGGGGTGGAGGTGGAGGTGGAGATGGGGTGGAGATGGAGATGGAGATGGGGGTGGAGATGGAGGTGGAGATGGGGATGGAGGTGGAGGTGGAGATGGAGGTGGAGATGGGGGTGGAGGTGGAGATGGAGGTGGAGGTGGAGATGTTGATGGAGGTGGCGGTGGAGATGGAGGTGGAGGTGGAGATGGAGGTGGAGTTGGAGATGGAGATGGGGGTGGAGATGGAGGTGGAGGTAGAGATGGAGGTGGAGATGGGGGTGGAGATGGAGATGGAGGTGGAGGTGGAGGTGGAAATAGAGGTGGAGATGGGGATGGAGGTGGGGATGGGGGTGGGGATGGGGGTGGAGATGGAGGTGGAGATGGAGATGGGGGTGGGGGTGGGGATGGGGATGGAGATGGAGATGGAGGTAGAGATGGAGGTGGAGATGGAAGTGGAGGTGAGGGTGGGGATAAGGATGGAAAATGGGATGGAGATGGGATGAGGATGGCGATGGAGGTAGAGATGGGGATGGGGATGAAGAAGGGGATGAGGAAGGGGTGGCGGTGTAGAGGCTGCCTGGGAAGCATTTGTGCTTCTTGGCTGGTGTTGCTAGAACAGCGTGTCACCCACAAGTGGTTGAACAACAGCCACGTATTGTCTCAGAGTCCAGGAGGCTGAAGGCTGAAGGCTGCGTAGGAGTTTACTGGGAGAGCAGAACAGAGCCTGACTGGCTCCAAGGCCCAGGGGCAGAAGGAAGCGTGGCCTCCCCGGGAGACAGGAGGCCTGAAGTCCTGGAGCAAGGTGCTCACTGGGCCATGCTGCCTCTGAGGGCCCCAGGGGAGGACCTGGCTCCTCTCCTAGTACCTGGTGGCTTCTTGGCTGCGACAGGATCACCCCGCTCTTCTCACATGTTCTGCCTGTGCACATGTTTGTCTCTGTGTCCAAATTTCCCCTGCTCATGAGGACATCTGCCCACACAAATGACCTCATTTTAACTTGAAAAACTCAGTAAAGACCCTTTTTCCAAATAAGGTCCCATTCTGAGGTGCTGGGGTTTAGGAATCCAGCCCGTCTTTTAGGGGGACACAATTATACCCACAACGATATTAGGACATGAGGGTATTAGAGAAAAGATGCCCAGGGTGAACGCGAGAGTGTGTGGGGGTAAGCAGTGCACCCCAACACTGGGCCAGGAGTTTGGGGCCATAGAACGAGGCCCAGAATGCCAGGTCAGGAGTCCCTGTCAATGGGGTTGGCAGAACATGTGTTAACTGAGGATGACGTGCCAGGTCCTGTGATGGGGACTCGTGGGGGAGTGGAAATGGGAAGATCCACCTGGAGAAGCTGACAGGCTTGCCGGGAATTTAGATGCTAAGAATTAGTTCACAAGCTGGGTGTGGTGACACACGCCTGTAATCCCAGTGGCTCAGGAGGCTGAGGCAGGAGGATCCTGAGTTCAAAGCCAGCCTCAGCAACTTAGTGAGGCGCTGTCTCTAAGTAAAATAACAAAAAGGTCTAGAGATGTGTCTCAGTGGTTGAGTGTCCCTGGGCTCAATCCCTGGTATCCAAAAAAAAAAAAAAAAAAAAAAAAAAACAAGAACAAGAATTAGTTCACAGATGAATGCAAGAATTAGGTGGAGGAGGTGAGGCTGGTGGGTCTTTGAGGGTTAGTTCAGGGGTCTTGGGGCAGCCATGCTTCAGTGATGACGTGAAGGCTGGGCAGGAATTATGGCTGCAAGGCCCAGGGGCAGAAGGGAGCATGACCTCCCTGGGGGACAGGGAGATGCAGCTGTGGCTGAGACGAGAGAGGGAGGAGGATGTGGGGCAGAACCTCATCAGCCCTGGCTGGGGCCTGCGCCTCAAGAAGCCCTTGAAAGCTCTCAGCAAGGAGTGAAGGGGTCAGATTGACCTCTCAGAAAGACCCCTGGGGATCTACCGAGGTGTCTGAGCTGGAGATGACAGCCACCAGGCTAGTGGTATTGAGAGAGAGCCTTGTGTTATTCGAGAGCAGGGGCTCTTACCCTGGGGGTCCGTGGACTCCCAAGGGTTGTTTTTAGGGGGCAGGGCACCTGAATGGGCTCACTTATTTAAATTATCCTCTAACTAAAATTTCTTTCTGAATTCCTTCCATTATGAAATTGGGCAACAAAGCCCAGTGGTAATTGTAGCTTTTTTGGGCACAAATCACAGATATTCTTATATTTCAGTTGCTGCTAATATAATAAAGTATTAATTAGGCTCAACACTGCCTGGAACTTGGTAGTTATTATACCTTGTTCCACGAGAGCCACATGTTCTCTACCTCGTTGAGTGTGATGCTTTGATAACCCTATCAATACAGTTGGGTCCCTTTGAAATCCTGTTTTTGGTTTATGCATTTATGATTCTGTGCAGTGTCCACAGACTTCTTCAGAATGGCTAGAGTCACCAGAAATGAGGGGGAGCTCCTGATCTAGATAATTTTCATTGTTGTAACTAAGAAGCCTAATTCTAGTTAGGGCCAAAGAAGACATAGAGAAATAATGGGCTCGATAAGGAGAAGTCACAGGGTGCCCTACATTCAGGAGTCCCAGCATCTGCTGTCCCCTGAGTAGCCACAGGCAGGTCCAGCCCATGTTCATGCCTGTGCTGCAGTGGCCATGATCTGGTATCTATCTCTGGGCTTAAATGCCCCCCTCAGTCAGGAGTCCAGTAGTGTGGGAGGGTCTCTTTCCAAATGGCCTTTGGAGAACTCTCAGAGATGGGGCTCCTGGACGGGCAGGCCTGAGTCATGTGCTCCTGTGGAACCAATCACAGGGGGCGAGCACGAAGGAGTACTCTGGTTGGTCTGTTTGGGTCATGTGCCTTCCTGGGCCGATGATATTGGCTGGAAGGATGAAGTAAACCCCTGGGGCTGCCCATCCAGAAGGCGCTATTGGAGCCATGCTGGCTGTGGGTGGGGTGCAGTGGGGGGCAGGACAGATTCCTCCTGGCATCCCTGCTGTCAGGGTCAGTGCATAGACAGTGGGAGGCAGGGGTGGTTGGGTGATCATCTGCATCTCTGTCACCCTGGGTTGGGATCTTCAGGCTCTCCACCCCCGATGGCTCCTCCTTCCTGCGGAGAACAGACCCCCCAATGAAGACGGTGACAGCCAATTCCAGACAGGCTCCCTGGCTGCCAGGGAGCCGGAGCATTCACGCGGGTTCACCTTCTGTGCCTTTAATCCTTGCAGCAGCCCTTCCCCTCACCTGTGTGGCTTTCCTGCCTGCCAGGTGACCTTAGGCAAGCTCAGTGCCTGTCTTTGGCACTAGTTGTACCGATAGGTTTGGGGGTTGTAGTGGAGCTGGGCGTGGTGACGAGACGTCCGGAGGTCGAAGCCTTTGCCACAGTGGCCTGGCCTGAGGCTTCTCTGCTTTTCTCCCCAGGGCAGTCCCCAGAGAAGACGCAGCCATGCCCGCAGGGTCCCTCTGACTGCGGGAAGCAGTGTGAGCCCGACTACTACCTGAGTGCGTCTGGCCGCTGCACGGCCTGTGTGAGCTGCTTGGGAGGTAAGGACCTGGCTCGCTTCTAGGGCCCCCAGGAGCCTCTGGGAGGCGGGAGCACCGGGATTTGGTGGGAGAACTCGGGTCGCCACCTTGCGCCTCAGTTTACCTCTGCATTTGTGAATTGGCTTCAGCAAAGATCCTTTGTCCCCGTGCTTTGCAGAGAGACTTCACGTGTCCCCTGAGGGGGGGATTCACCTTGGCAGAGTTTAGTCTTCAGAGTGCCCCAGGGAGGGCCCTTTTCTTATTCCTGCTTTGTGGTGAGGGGCCAAGGATTCTCGGGTGAAGAGCTTTTCCAAAGTTGCAAAACACCCGGAAGATGGCAGAGCTGGGGGCTGAGCTGATGTTCTTTTTTTCCAATAAGCACTTCTTATGGTTAGAAAATGTGGTCTGGGGTTTGTTTGTTTTTGTGTCAGTTTTTCTGGAAGACAGAATTGGGGAATTTTTTAAGATTTTGTGACCTAATAAATAATCACATTTAAATAAAAGTGTTCAGTGTGTGTATGTGTGTGTGGGTTTCTTTCCTTCCTTCCTTCCTTCCTTCCTTCCTTCCTTCCTTCTTTCTTTCTCTGGGAATTGAACCCAGGGTTGCTTAACCACTGAGCCACATCCCTAGGCCCTTTTTGTATTTTATTTAGAGATAGAGTCTCACTGAGTTGCTTAGGGCCTCACTAAGTTGGTGAGGCTGGCTTTGAACTCAGGATCCTCCTGCCTCAGCCTCCTGAGCCACTGGGATTACGGGTGGGCACCACTGTGCCCAGTTTGTTTTTTTTTAAATGTGTATATTGCTTGTTAAATTGCTTGTTCTCTATATATCATTAGATCAAGCTTATTCATTGTTATTTAAATAGTATGTACTTTTTTAAAAAAATTTTTTTTATAGTTGTAGATGGAAAGAATGCCTTTATTTTATTTGTTAATTTTATGTGGTGCTGAGGATCAAACCCAGGGCCTCACACATGCTAGGCAAGTGCTTTGCCATTGAGCCCCAGCCCCAGCCCAAATAATATGTATTCTCATTCTCTTTTCCACCGTTGCTTGTTGATTTCTGAGATATGTTAAAACCTCCCCCCTCCCCCATGCTCAACATCCATTAGGTCTTCTGGTTTGTCTCATATATGTGAAAGCTGTTATTAGGCACATAAATGTTCATGAACATTGTTTTCTGGTGAGTTGGATCCTTTGTCCATATAAAATATACCTCTTTGTTCCCTTAATTCCACTACTGTATGATATTAATATTGCCGTTCCTTCTTTCTTCACATACATTAACATATATCTTTATTTTTTTTCTTCATTGCTGGGGATTGAACCCAGGGGCACCTTACCACTAACCTATACCTTCAGTCCTTTTTATTTATTTTTTTGAGATATGGTCTTGCTAAGTTGCCGAGGCTGGCCTTGAATTTGTAATCCTCCTGCCTCAGCCTCCTGCATTGCTGGGTTTGCAGATATGTGCCACCGCGCCTGGCGATCTTTATATTTTTAAATGTAATGACCGCAGTGTAGGAAGTGAAAGTTATATATGTTTGTTTTAAGACATTCACATACTCCAGAAGAGCATGCTGTCTTCCCCAGTCCTCCGTCATCATTGTGTCATCATTGGATGCTTGATACCTCTCTGTCCCCCTCCTGAGAGAGGAAGATGGGTAGCTAGGGGCCAGATAGACTAGACACAGAGAGAGAAGGCCTTTTAAGAGAGGCAGCGTATTATTCATGACATTAAAATCATTACATTCAATTTAGTTGAATGTATCAGAGGAAGAAGAAACTAAAATATAACTAAGGAAGTGACAGATCTTAGATAAACTAAGTATTTTTATTAAAAGAGATAGTATCTCCTTAAAAAAAATTCTTTAAAGTTAAGAGGGCCAGGGGTGTGGCTCAGTGGCAAGAGTGCCCACCCAGCACGGGCAAGGCCAAGGTCTGATCCCCAGCACCAGGAAAAAAAATTAAGAAAAGAGGTTATGATTCTTGCTTGATGAGAGGTTAAGAATCTTTTAAGGCAGCACTGTCTCCTGTGGTAAAGTCACAATCCTCTTATTTTGGTTTTTTTGGACAACATGGTGTGGATCTGCTGCGGGCCCAAGTGGCTGCGGGGTCCTAGCTGCTAGGTGTCACAGTCTTGCAGCAAGAGTTTCCAGTGAGTCACACAGAGTGACAAGCAGGAGTTCAGGACAGACTGAACGGGTCACCCCAGGGCAGTGGCTCGGGGACCTGCAGAGTCCTGATGTTTCCCAGGAGGCTTTGCTCCCTTTGACCTGATAAGGTGGCCCCTGGGCCTAGGAAGGGGTTGAAATTTCATCTTTTGTCGTAATGCACCCCTTTGCCCCTTCCGCTCCTTTCTAGAGCTTTGGGGATGGAACTTTTGAAACAGTGATTTTCCCCATCTTCCCCCAGCTGCTCCCTGCCCACCTGATCGTGGGTGGAGCTGGGGCCTGGTGGCTGAGCTTCCTTCCTCCTCCTCCGGCACAGCAGGGATTAGGGCTGCTAATTATCTCCAGCCCCGTGACCTGTGGACTCTGATTCATCCCTACTGCCCTGTCCTGCCCACCTGGTCATGGCTGGCCAACCTAGCTAACGATTGACTCTGCTGGGGACTGAGCAGTACTTTGGAAACTGGGAGCCGGGGCCCAGGATGGGAAGCGTGGTTCAGCCAGAGATGGGTCTCTTCCTTGCTGGGGGATAGGGATCTGCTTGGCCTCTGTCAGCGTCCCGGTCAGAGCTCCTGCTGCCTAGACAGCAGCACACCCCACTTCTGTGGCATCTACCACTCCCAGAGCTTGGGCTGCTTCCGGAAGTTGGCGAATCCAGGGGTCTTTCCTGCCTCTGGCCGGGCTGGTGCTGCCTCCCCGCTGCTTCTTGGGGTCTTTCCTGGGAGACTGCTGCCCTCAGTCTGGTTTCTGAGAATTCTCCGGGTTTTCTTCCCTCCCCGTCACGGCTTCCAGGGCGTAGGGAACCTGAGCAGTGGTGCGGCGTCCCCTGAGTTGGTTTCGTGGACCTGTTCCAGAGGGGCCTTCTCATTTCTGCCCATGTGCTGTGGTCAGAATGTAGTCCCATGAGCCCTGACCCCCGACCAGCGACCAGGAAGGCTGGGAAGGGCAGTCTTCTCCGGCCGGTGCACCCCAGCATCGTGTTCTGAAGTTCATTTTTTGTCTCGGGATATTGATCCTGCTGCATCCAGAAGCTCGTTCCTTTTCCCCTTTTCTGCTTCCTGGGGTCTACTTTCTCTGAGTTTAGGGCTCCTCTTCCTGGTGCTGGTTTCTCCTGATGTTTGGTGACTTCTCGTCCCTGTGCACATGCCATGGATGATGCTGGGGTCAGAATGGGGCTTCTGAGGCCCTCCCCGGGGGGCTGGGAGTGACCCGTGGGCTCCCAGACGCTCTTCCAGGGGAGACGCTTGGCCTGCAGCTCGGCGGTGCTCGAGGTTGAGCAGGGTGGGGAGCCTGGTGACGGGTGCTGCTTCTGCTCCCCGTCGATTCCCTGTTCCTAGGGACCCTGGGGACTGGAGCCCCAGAGCCTCTCCCGCCTTCCAGGTGCCACCCTTCTGTGTATATTTGGCCATGGGCTCCTTCTACCTAATCCCATCTACATATTTCAGAGTGGCCTTGTCCCTTCTGGTCTTCCAAGGCCACCCCTTGTGCTCCAGACACATTAAGCATTAATTAATGAATCTGACCAGTGACATATTTTATATATATATATATATATATATATATATATATATATTTATTTATTTATTTATTTATTTATTTGAGTTGTAGTTGGACACAGTACCTTAATTTTTTAAGTAGATTTTTTATGTGGTGCTGAGGATCGAACCCAGCGCCTTGCATGTGCTAGGTGAGCGCTCTACTGCTGAGCCACCACCCCAGCCCCACTGACATGTTTTTATTGAGGTAAAATTCCTATAACATGAAAAGAATCTCACCATTTTATAGTACACAGTTTGGTGGTTTCTAGAATATTCACAATGTGCAACTTACCGCCACTGTCTAATCCCAGAACGTTTTCATCTCCTCCAAAAGACACCCTCACCTCCCACTTCTCCTCTCCTCCCAGCCCCCTGGAGACCCCTAGTCTGCTTTCCATCTCCATGGATTTGCCCCACTTTGGACATTTCATATCAGTGGAGTCAGGCCGTACGTGGGTTTAGTGGCTGCTCTCTTTCACGTAACAGTGATCTCAACGTTTATCCACACTGGAGCCGGGGTCAGAACTTCATTTCTTTTTATGGCTGAATATAGCACTATGTCTGCAGCTTGACTGACCTCGGCCATCTTGAACCATAAGACCACAGGGCCCCCGAGTGACCCTGGCCAGAGTCTCCCAGCATGCTGTGGGTGAACAAAGCCGTTGGAGCAGTAGGTGGAGCTTGACAACAGGACCCACTGTCAGCTCCAGGAATGTGCTGATGGCCTTGACATTACCTTGAAATAAACCAGAACATTCCGGCATGGATAAAGTCCCTTTGGTCCTGATCACCAACTGCAAGAACCCCTCCCTCTGGCCCAAGTCAGGGGGATTCACCAGTCTTGCCACCGCCCTTGACCACGCTTCTCTCAGGGCCCCTGTAGGTGCGCTCTGCAGCCCTGGGGCTGTCTTCAGCCTGACAGCAACTTGCAGTTGGTTCTTTTGCTCGGGGTTTTCCGAGCACAGCATGGTCACTGCATTGTCTTTATCATCCATCAGTCAGTGGACCCTTGGGTCTATACTTTCCAGCCGTTGCCAATAATGCTCCTGTGAACCCTCGTGCCTGTGCCTTTCTGTGGACACAGGTTCTCAGTTCTCTCGGGCATTCACCTAGGTGTGGCACGGACACCACTTGGTGACCGTGTGTGTACCTTTCTCAGGAAGGGCCAGTGGACTTGCCTTCCTTCCAGAAGGGTCTGAGGATGGCAGCCTCCCTACCTTCCTGTCAGTCTTCTTTCCAGCACGTGACAGAATACCGGGGACTCTCAACTTGACAGAAGGCTTACCTTGGCCGGGGTTTCAGTCCATGGTCACTAGGCCTGTTTTGTGGGCCTTTGGTGGCCCAGTACATTATAGTGGCAGAGCCTGGCAGAGGCCTGTTCACCTCTTGGTGGCCTGGGAAGCAAAGAGGGAGAGACAGAAAGGGGTGGGAGGTCCCAGTATCCCCTCAAGGGTGCACCCCCACCAGCCTCACTTCTTTTACCAGGCCACACCTCCTGAGGGTTCTGCCACCTCTCAGTAGTGTCACTGGCTGGGATGCAAGCCTTCAACACATGAACCTTTGAGGGACTATAGCCGGGCATGGTGGCACACGCCTGTAATCCCAGCAATTTGAGATTGAGGCAGTAAGATTGCAAGTTCAAGGCCAGCTTCAGCAACTTAGCAAGACCCTGTCTCGATAAAAAATAAAAGGGCTGGGGATGCAGCTCAGTGGCTAAGTGCCCCAGGGTGCGATCCTCCCCCACCACAAAGCCAAACTGCAGCTCTTGGCAACACTTGCTCTTTCTTTTTTCTGTAGGCACCCCAGTGGGGCTTGTGATGTGGAGCCTTTTCTTCATGCACTCATTGGTCATCAATATGCCTTTGCAGACATGTTGACTCAAATCCTTTGTCCACTAAAAAAATTGGCAGACGTTATTTTAGAGCAGTTGGAATGGACAGAAAAATTGAACAGGAAATACCATCCCAGGTGCCCTCCCTCTACCGGCCACCAGTCCCCCTGCCGTTGACATTTTGCATCAGCGTGGTATGTCCGTTGTCACCGAGGAGCCACTGTTGATACATTACTATTAACAACAGGCCACACTTCACATTAAGGACTCACTCCCGGGGTTGTACAGTCTGTGGCTTTTGACAAATGGATAATGACGTGTGTCCACTGTCACAGTGTCCTGCGGACTAGCCTCGCACCATCACCCTCCATCCTCCCTACCCCTGGCAACTACAGATTGCTTTCCTGTCTGTGTAATCGAGCCTCCTCTGTTCTGGACCGTCCCCTGGGTCGGGGCGTTTTCTGCCTGGGTCTCGCACGTCTTTCACCCAGCAGTACTGTCCAAGGCCCCCCATGTCTTCTTTGCTTGTTTCTAAATTGGGGCTTTGACTGATTGATTTCTCTGACCCACCTTGGTGGTGGCTGGGGACTGGGCCCGGGAGGCGGAGGCTGCGGGTGCCCCTGCCTGCCCTTTGTCCTCATGTCAGGAATTCTCTGGAAAGAAGGGAGGCCGTGCGTGCCGAGCTGTTCCTGGAAATCCCCTGACCCCGGCCCCCTCCCCCTCCCCCTGCGTGACCCCGCCTGTCCGTCCGTCCGTCTGCAGACCTCGTGGAGAAGGCGCCTTGCTCCGGAAACTCCCCCCGCGTCTGCCAGTGCCGGCCGGGCACGTTCTGCTCCACGTCAGCCAAGAACTCCTGTGCCCGCTGCTCACCGCACACCGTCTGCCCAGCGGGCCAGGTCGTCCAGTCTCCAGGTGAGTGTCCCCACTGCTTCCACCACTGCACCCCTCCTGCCACCCGACCCCCAAGTGACTTCCGACACCCCACTTCCTCAAGCCCTGGGCCAGGTCACTCTCCTTTCACAATGTCGTGAGGTCCTTGGCACTCAGGGCCTTCTGCTGCCCTGGGCTTATGTCCCAGGCTCAGAGGGACCCTGGTGGCCAAGGCACAGGCCGGACTGGAGGAGGGAGCTCTCTCACCCTCTCCCCCCAACACCCAAGAGGGAAACCTCAATCTCTGTCCTGGGAGTTTTGTAAAAGATCGAGCTGGTTTTCTTGTTTCAGAATCGGGGCGTTGGAGTTAGAGGTGCCAGGACAGGTGCCAGGAGAAACAGGCCGAGAATCTTGGCTTTCTGTTTGAACTTGCTGTGTGACCTCCGGCAAGGTCCTTATCCTCTCTGTGCTTTTCTGACACTACAAAGGTGTGTCATAGCTAGAGAAGGGGCGAGAGCCGCAGGTCCTGTCTGGATGGCAGGAAGAAAGCCCTTCAGAAGGGAGGCGTGGGGACTGGGTGGCTTTGGACACACCTCATGCACACGTCTTCCGCCATGCCGTGGCGAGGACACCGTCCTTGGGTAGGAGGCTGCTTGACGTTTTCTGCGCCTGCTGGTGTTTCCGGGTTGCCAGCTCCACCAGCTGCCTCTTGGATTTCTGAGGCATCCACCAGACTCCAGGGCCTGACCCGGTGTCACTCCTGGGGTCCCCGTCTGAGCCCATCCGCCTTCTCTTCCCACCTGTCGGTCCCCTTGTGTCCGTGTTGTACGTGGCGCCCGGGCTTTTAGCTGTTCCTGGTGGAGAAGGTGGGAAGCATGTCCACCCATCTTCCCAGCCTCAGGACACGACCCTCAAGCAGCCTGGGGAGCTGTCTTGCTCTTGGGCTCCTCTTGGGCCCCTCCCGGCTGCGCCCTCTGTCAGGGACCTTCCCTGTCCCTTAGCTAATCCTCCACCTCGAGCTTTCCATCCAAACACCGCGTCCTCCAGGGCCCGTCCTTGACCTCTCCCCAGGCCATGCCCCTGTGCGATTGCTTAGAGCGCTGTGTCCACTTTCAAGGATGTCCATTTGTCCCCGTCTGGGTGCCTGTCTTGCTCCCTGGGCCGGACCCAGACCAAACACCAGGATGATCCAGGGGCGGGGAGGTCAGATGGGTGCTGGGTGGGTTCACATGTGACCAGATTCCCCCTGGGCCACAGGAGAGCCTCAGAAAGGGAACATGCAAAACCCTCCCCTGCAAGCTGGGCAGGGTGGCTCAGTGGAAAGCGCTCTGCTCTGGGCCACGGCTACCTGCAAAGCTTTGCTTGTGAGGCAGGTTCCCACCCCTCTCTGTGCCTCAGTCTCCTCATCTGCAAAATGAGGTGTAATTTGAAGTCCGTGGGGGCCTTAGAAACTCTCGTCTGTAAAATAGCCTGCAGTTCTTCTGAGCTCTGATCAGGCATGCGACAGCCTGAGGGCTGTCTGCGTGGTGTTCCAGCAACTGCCACACAGTGGCGCCAGAGACTGCTCTTAAAGGCCCTGGACCTCTGCTGCCCAATGTGGTACCACTGGCCCTGGGTGGCCCCTGAGCACTTAAAGTGTGGCTGGTCTGCATTGAGAGGTACTGGGAGTATATAATATGCACTGGGTTTTAAATACTTAGAATGAAAAACAGAATATAAAACGTCTCAATTATTTTTACATTGATTGCCTGCTGACAGTATTTTAGATATATTGCTTTAAATAAATCATATTATTAAAATTAATTTCATTTTACCTTTTAAAATATTCTCCCAGGAGTCAGGCACAGTGGCACACACCTGTAATCCCAGCGGCTCTGGAGGCTGAGACAGGAGAATATCGAGTTCAAAGCCAGCCTCAGCAATGGCAAGGCGCTAAGCAACTCAGTGAGATCCTGTCTCTAAATAAAATACAAATTAGGGCTGGGGTGTGGCTCAGTGGTCAAGTGCCCCTGAGTTCAATCCCTGGTACCAAAAACAAAAACAAGAAACAAAAAAAGAAAGAAAAGAAAAGAAAATGTTTCTCCTGGAAAATTTAAATTGGCACATGGGATTCACGTCCTATTTCTGTCGGACAGTCTTACTTCACAGGTGCCTGACCCTGGCTGCCAGACCCTGACTGACGTCTGGAGTCCCCTGTGGAACTCTCCTAGAGGGCAGCTCTCGGGACCACTAGGAGAGTAAAATGGAAAGGAAGTTCTCTTTCCGGTTCTGCTCGTAGCTAAACCACCTGCTAAGAGCTTCCAGGGATTGTCTCTCCTGAAATGTCCAGTTTCTGTTAGGGTGGCCGTGACAGCCCCATTCTACAGATGGAGGAGTCAGGCCCCGAGGTGGTGGGGAAGTGGCCCAAGAACACAGAGCAGGGAACAGCCAAACCAGAAGTCAGCATTGCCTGCTCCCCCCCACCTCCAGAGCCACAGATGGAGGTCACCTGCTCAGTGAGGGGGCAGGAGTCCAGACGGGGAGAGGCAGATGCCGTTTGTTGAGAATTTACAGTATGTCATGCCCAGTGACCGGCCCATTATTTATACTCCGTTTATCCAGACACTTGTGGGGTGAAGAGTGTGTTGTTATGATCAGTTGAAAGCCTGGCACAGCTTGGCAGAGGGCAAGTTTGGGGCACTCGGTGGGTTGTTTCCCTCTCCACTGCTTCCCCCACAGTGTCCTCCAGGACTCTCTGGGTCGCAAGTAACAACATCTCCAGGGTGGGGGCAGGTGTCACTGAAAGCTCTGGGGATAGATTTGGGGAGCTTCAGGTCTAGCTGGACCCAAGTGCCCCGTCTTCCCGTCTCTCATTTCTGTCCCTTTCTGGCCTGGTCCGTCTGGGGACGCTCATCAGCAGCTCTACGCTCGCTTCCTGTCCGGCCGCGGCAGGGAGATAGCTGCTGCTTTCTGCCTTTTCAATGACCAGAAATAAAACCTTGAACCTGTCTGAGGGCGTGGCCTGGGTCTGACCTCAGCAGGGCCACCGAGGAGGGCCAGGGAGGGCTGCCCACGAAGGCTGGCACTGGGCGACGTGATCCCGGGAGACCCTGGCTGCCTACTCCAGGGGCAGTGGATGCAGGAAGGTGTCCTCCAAGGCCATCTGTGCCTTGGGCTTGGCGAGGTGAGAGGTCTATTCCTAGACACTTTGGGCTCCTCAGTGCCTGTTCTGAAGCTCTTGCTGTCCCTTCCTCAGGCACAGCAGAGAAGGACACTAAGTGTGGGCCACCTTCCCCAGGGACCAGCCCTGACTGCACCAGCCCAGAGGACTGCGAGACCCCCGCCAGGTGACTAGTGGCCTTCTCCCCTCCAGTTCCCCTCCATGTGACCTTTAGGTGGGGCTGACCCACCCCGAGGGGTGCCTGGGGGAGCCGGGCTGGGGCACAGGGGGTTCAGCCCAGGGGCTCAGGACTCTGGGTGCCTCTGTCAAGGGCATGGATCAAGTCACGTGAGGCCCCACAGCGCGTCCAGCCCTGCCCCCCCCCCCACGGGGACCCAGAAAGCCGAGGTGGCACAGCTCTTGCCCCAGGAGCTCTGGCAGGCCTGCTGGGACTGAGCCAGGGTCTGGGGACCCCTTCTCTATGGGCGCGGTTACCCCCGAGCACAGACCTCCCCTGCCCCACGGGCGAGTCATCTGACCCACCTTGGGCTTCTTCCCCAGGGACGCCACTCCCCAGGCTGAGCCCATCCTGATGACCCCAGCCACCACCGATGCCAGGACCACGCTTCAAAGAGGGGTCACCCCCCACCCCCTGGAAGATGCTTCTCCACTGACCGGGGCTTCCAGACCTCCCTCCTCTGCGGGCAAGCCCGGTCCACACCCAGGTCCAGGTAATTTCTCCAGGAACCCGAGGGCTGTCCCCAGGGCAATGCCTGGACCACCTGTGTGTGGCGGTCAGGGCGGGTGGGCACTGAGCTGCGGCCTTTCTCAGTGGGGACAACAAGGATGTCAGGGCAGAGGCCCTGGAAGGGCTCACGCACCTGCAGCATTTCTAAGGCCCTGGTGGGCTCACGCACCTGCAGCATTTCTAAGGCCCTGGTGGGCTCACGCACCTGCAGCATTTCTAAGGCCCTGGAAGGGCTCACGCACCTGCAGCATTTCTAAGGCCCTGGTGGGCTGGGCCTGGGGCGGGTACAGGGGACACTGGCCCGTCCTCCTGCCAGAGTGCTGAGGACAGAGTAGGCAGCCCCTGCTGCGTCCGCTCGATGCCCCCCTGGCTCCTGGGACGAAGGGTCTGGCCCCCAGTCCACACCTCTTTATTGCTGAGCAGCCTCTGCCACACAGGTGGGGCCTGGGTGGGGCCTGCGGGCAGTCAGCCCCGGGCCCGGATGCCAGACGACAGAGCGAACCTCTGTGGGAATGGAGTGTTTTTATTTCTCTTGGATTTTTAAAATAACTATTTGATTTCATTTATTTATTTGATGTGGTGCTCAGGGTGGAGCCCAGCGCCTCGCACATGGCAGGCAGGCACTCTGCCCCTGAGCTACGGCCCCAGGGTTTCTCCTAACTCTGGACCTGAGCCCTGTGTCTCCTGCTTGTGTGCAGAACGCCCTCTCCCCCTGCCCCCTGGCCGCCTGCCGCCTGTGCACAGATGCTCTGTTTGTTTATTTAGGTACTGAGGGTTGAACCCAGAGGCACTTTACCTCTGGCTACATCTCCAGTCCTTTTTAGTTTTTCTTTAGATACAGGGTCTCACTAAGTTGCTTAGGACTCTGCTAAGTTGCCAAGGCTGGCCTCGAACTTGCAATCCTCCTGCCTCTGCCTCCTGAGTCTCGGGGATCACAGGCGGACCCACCGGGCCTGGAACATGTTCTCATTTTCACTTCCAGATTGACCCGTCTTCCTCTGTGATTGGGGCTTTCTGCGTTCTGTTTTGGAAGTCTTTTTCTCCACCAGAGCCTCAAAACTAGCCTCCGTTTATTTTCTAGGATCGTTCACATTTAGATCTGCTGTCCACGTTGGAGTCTAAGCAGAGGTCATTGAACACCACAATGTGTTTCTCTCCCCGGTTTTTTTGTACCTTCTTTGCTGTAAATCAAGGACCCCTATATTGATGGAATGGATTCTGGATTCGGTTCTGTGTGAATGCCATTCTGTCTTTTGGGGGTGTGCTGGGGTTGAACCCAGGGCCTCGTGCATGCTAGGCAAGTGTCCCTGAGCCCCAGCCCCACCCACCTACTGTCAGGATTATTATAATGGGTGGTCAAGCAACACCTCCAACTCTGTCCTTCACAGTATATTAGATACTCTTAGTAACTTGTTTTTAAAATAAATTTTAGAATCAGCTTTCAAACCCTGCAGGTATCCTTTGGGGATCCTAACTGGGGTTGCACCGAGCCCGTAGCTCGTTTTGAAGGAAACCCAGTCCTGACCACGTGGAGCCTTCCAGGCACGTGCTGAGCGCAGACCTGCGTTGCTTTAGGCCTACTTTAAACACTCTGCCCGCAGCCACAGGACTCCCTCCGAGAGGTGGGACCGGCTCACGGGGACTTTTGTGGTTTTCTGGGTAGCGAGGCTTACATCTTTTTGTCAGATTTCTAGGTATTTAATCTTTCTGACGATGACATGAATGATATCTTTGTCAGTACTTCTGTTTCTGATTCTTTGTTGTCAGTATTATTTTGAGTCATGTGAAATTGCCCATATCTGACCATCTTTAACCTGAAAAACCATTAATTTCATATGGTCCGAACTCTTATGTGGGAAACTCAACTGATTTTTGATATTGTGACTCTTAGCTTTCAAAACACCTGAGATAACCAGCTTAATAAGGGAGAGGGTTTACTCGGCCCGTGGCCTTCGGGTCTGTGGCGAGGCAGCACATCAAGGCCGGAGCACGCGGTGGAGGAAGCTGCCCCCCTCGAGGCAGTGAGAACAGGAAGGGGAGGGCCAGGCCCCAGGGTCCCCTTCAAGGGCACACATACAGTGACCTCATTTCCTTCTACTAGGCCTCCTAAAAGTTCTAACGTCTCCCAATAATGCCAGGCCTGGGGACCAAGCCTTCAGTGCAGGAGCCTTTGGGGACTTTGAAGGCTTGAAGTATAGCAGAGGTCACCAGCACCTGGTGAGCCTCACTGGTTGCTGTCACCAGCGCACCTGCAGGGTGTCCCGGCTGTGAGCCTGTCTGCACCCCTCTAGGAAGAGCAGCTCCTTTATCTCTTCCTCGCCTCGGGCTCCCCACCCCCACCCCCCTCTGACTGAAGTCTGACAGCGGGGACCTCCTCACCTGGATTCTCACAGGAAAAGCTGCTCCCAATGCCCAGGGCAGGGAGTGACCTGGCTGTGGTCCTGGGGAGGGGCTGGCCGAGTGGCCACAGTGGATCCGAGAAGGAGGCAGGGGCCAGTGGATGCTTTTCTCCTGTGTGTCCTCAGGCTCATTCCCTCCCTCTCTGGGCCTCAGGGCTCCCTCAGAGAAGTGGGACCTCCCCACTCCTGGGCTGTGGGAGCTGGCCACGGCAGTGGGAGGTTCCAAGGATGGGGAGGTGCGTCTTGGCCAAGGCAGCCTGGCCCCCAGCTTCTCTGCCTCCTTCCCTAGGACTGTCGCCATGGCAGCCGTGTCCCCAGGGGTCTGCCAACTGCGGGAAGCAGTGTGAGCCCGACTACTACCTGGACAGGACTGGCCGCTGCACGGCCTGTGTGAGCTGTTTGCGAGGTGAGGGTGCGGTCCTCCCTCGGGGCTCCTTCCAGGGATCGCGGGGGCTGGAGGGTGCGAATGATGTGGGTGGTCTTTGGTTTGGGCCGCTCAGCCCACGGGAGCCTCTGTTTCCCTGTCTGGTGTTCTGAACCCTCAACTTCCGGTGACCCCCACTCACACCTGTGGTTTGTGATGGTTGTGTTTCAAGGACTCCACCCACCCCGTCCCTCCTTCCAGGAAGCATTTACAAGTGACCTGCCTGTTCCAAATCTGCTCCAGACCTGTTCCAAACTTGTCTCATCAATTTTTTTTTTTTTTTTTTGGTACCAGGTATTGAACCCAGGGGCACTTGACCACTGAGCCACATCCCCAGCCCTTTTTTTGTATTTTATTTAGAGACAAGGTCTCACTGAGTTGCTTAGGGCCTCGCTAAGTTGCTGAGGCTGCCTTTGAACTAGCGATCCTCTTGCTTCAGCCTCCTCCCAAGCCGCTGGGATTGTAGGCAAATGTCACTGTGCCCAGCTGTCTCATCAATTCTTGTGACTACCCTACAGTGCAGAGATTGTGATTGTCCTCATTTTATACAGGAGGAAATAGACGCTTCCAGAGGTCCAGGGACTTCCAAAAGGCACAGGCCAGGCTTTGAGCCTAGGGGAGCATGCCCCCAGGTCCTGGGCTCTTGTCACTCTGTTCACAGCCCTGGGAGCAGCTTCCAGCAAGCGCGGCCACTGCTGATGAGATGTGTCTCTTCCTGTGACTGCTCACAGCAGGTGCCCTGCATTGTCCACAAGAGCCACACAGGGCAGGGGAGGCTGACCGGCTGCAGACTGCAGTATTATTAGTGGCCCTCACACACGGAGGCCACCAGGACTGTGTCATTGCATCTGTTTGTGGCCTCCTTCCTGCAGCAAGGAGGACCAGAGAGTTAGGACATTTGTTGTCATTGGGCATCTCTGCCCCCGTGGCTAAGACTGCAGAGCAAAACAAAGCCTTCACTGAACTTAGGTTTCTGTGGGTCGGAGTTCAGGCAGGGCACTGAGGGGACTTCTGGTCTCTGCTCCAGTGTCTGGGGTCTCAGATGGAAACCCTGGAGGCTGGAGGCTAGACTCTTCTGGAGGCTGTGGGTCCTTGTCACTGTGGGTTGGGGCCTCGGCCCTCTCCCTCAGCCTCGTATGACTTGCTCTGAGCTTCCTCACCGCCTGGTGGCTGGGTCCTGAAGGTGGACATCCCAAGAGAGACAAGTGAGAGCCACATCCCTTTTATGACCTTGCCTAAGAAGTCACCTGGTGCTATTTCTGCCATTTCTATCTGCTGAGCCAGTCCCAGATCTCGGGGGCAATGAAGGAAGGAAAGCAGTTCCACTTCTTGGTGGGGAAGCGGCAAGGCCCTGGGAGAGCAGACGGGCCCATTTTTGTAAAAACAAAGTCTGCTGCAGTCACCCTGTTAGACGGAGAGCAGAGACGGCTCTGCCGAGAATTCCTTCCGCCCTCTAAAGTGTGAGCTGTTCCATGGAACCTAAAAAACCACCAGAGCGCCTTGGTGGCCTCAGGCTGGTGACCGCGTCCATGTGGCCCTCCCAGTACAGCTTAGGATCCAGGAAGTTTTCTTTCTCCTTTTCTCTCCCTTTTTTTTCTGTTTAGTACTGGGTGAGCACCGTACCGCTGAGTTACACGCCCCGTGCTTAAGCAAGGTTCTTTTCCTTAGAGAGGCCCTAAGCAACTTAGAGACCCGTCTGCAAATAAAATATTAAAAAAGGGCTGAGAATGTTGCTCAGTGGTTAAGCGTCCCTGGGTTTAATCCCTGGTTAAAAAGAAAGAGAGAGAGAGAGAGAGAAAGAAGAAAGAAAGAAAGAGTCCCAAGCATAAATAAAAGCTGTATTTCACTTTTTCTTTTACAAAACCTCTAGTGTTTTATTTTTATTTTTTCATTGTTTTCTTTTGGGGTAAAAACCCCTTTTTATCATTAAAAATATTAAACGTATTCAGCAGTAGTAAGGCTCGGGAACAGCTCCGTCCTGTGACCCGGTCTGGGCCAAGCGCAGTTGGTCCATTCCCTAAGCCCACTCACCTGTCCCCAGATGCTTTTTAAAAACAGTTCTTTGGCGGCACAGTTCACTGCAGAGAGGCGCACACGTGTAAAGTCTGGCCTGATCGTCGACCCGGGCATGCAGGGGTACACGCAGCCCTCACCCCCAGAGCCCCCGCCAGCGCCCGTTGCCCCTCCACCCTGCAATCCCAGGCTGTCCCTCGCTCACCATCGCCTGAATGGTCTGCACCCGAGAAGTTCTCGGGGACAGAACCTGCAGCGTGCTCCTCTGTCCTCTGCCTTCCCTGACCTGGCGGCTCATTTGGAGCAGGCTGGGGTCCTCCCAACAGAATAGCCAGGGGCTCCTTATTTTCTTGTTGGATAAACTCTCCTTTCTCTGTCCTCTGGGGGCCTCCCTGCACCTCCTGCTCTCCATCCTGCCCATCCCCATGAGCCCTCTCTGTGTCCCTCAGATGACCTCGTGGAGAAGGCGCCTTGCTCCTGGAACTCCTCCCGTGTCTGCGAGTGCCGGCCGGGCCTGTTCTGTGCCGTGTCAGTCGCCAGCTCCTGTGCCCGCTGCATTCCCCGCCCTGTCTGCCTACCAGGGATGGTCGTCCAGCCCCAGGGTGAGCATCCCCACTCAGCTAAGGGGTGGAACTCCTGCCCCTGAGCCTCTCCCCACCTCCAGTGGGGCAGCTGACCTTCAAACCCAGCTGTCCCTAGGTCAGGCTTGGGCTTTGCTTCATCGTAGAGTATTTGTATCCCGTGAACAGGATAAAACCCAGCATTTTGGTAGGAGGTTCTGATAATTCTTTTGTTGAGGTACTGGGGATTGAACTCAGGGGCACTTGGCCCCTGAGCCCCATCCCGAGTCCTATTTTGTATTTTATTTAGAGACAGCGTCTCACTGAGTTGCTTAGACACCTCACCATTGCTGAGGCTGGCTTTGAATTTGCGATCCCCCTGCCTCAGCCTCCTGAGTCGCTGGGTTTGCAGCCACCGCACCCAGCTTGAGATACATACATATATTTTAAATTCTTTTTCCTGGAAGGACGGGGCTGGTCCTTTCTTGACTCGTCTGCAAGGCTGTGTTAGGAGTTCAGGTGGAAGAGCATAAAGTTTCTGAAGAGTTTTCCATCTCAAGATGGTGAGCTTTGCAGGCTGCAGGAAAGTAGAGACCCTTAATGGTCATGGCAAAAAATGGGCTCATCGGCAGCTGAGAAATGTCAACAAGTTTCTAGAAAGTTGGAACCAGATGAAAGGTGGTGACAAACGGCACCAGGTGGAGGATAGCTCACCGGCTGGCTCAGTGAGGGATGCAGAAGTGAGGGCCTCCCCTGCACGTCGAGCTGTTTCACCTCCAGAGAGGCTCCCGGCTCAGGGAAGGCGGTGACATGGAGGGGCGGGAGGCGGGGACCGGCTCAGGGAAGGCGGTGACATGGAGGGGCGGGAGGCGGGGACCGGGGGCCGGGGGCTGGGGGAGCGCAGTGTGCTGTCAGTACATCCTGAAAGGAAAACATAGAATCTGTCACAGCACGGGCTTTGGCCAGGCTGTAGGACGAGCCTGAGTATTTGTCTCCTTGCAAGACGATCAGATCTTTGATAAGGACACTGAGGGGAAGCTACGGTACCAGCATGAGCCGCCACTCTGCTTGCGAAGCCCTCTTCGTTTGTGTTTGGAGGTGCACCCGTCCATAGGCCAGTCCAAAAGCAGAGCCCGCCAGCCCACACTTCCCGCCCAAGATCCAGGCAGTCTTCCTCCCCACTCAGGGAAGAGGCCCTGTGAAGATGACGTGCTAACACCTCAGCAGAAGAAAATCCCCTACAGCTGGATATTCAGCAGAGCCTTGTTGATAAATATGAAAGAGCAGCAGAGATCCTCAGACTTAGAAGGGAGGATGAGCAAGCAGAGACACCGCTGCAGATGGAGCAGCGGAAATCCAGGCAGGAATAGAAGAGAAATCAACACTAAAAACATTTACGGGAGGGGCTGGGGTTGTAGCTCCGAGGTAGAGCTCACCTAGCACGCATGAGGCACTGGGTTCCATCCTCAGCATTACATGAAAATAAAAATATATATATTGTTTGTGTCCACCTACAAGGAAAAAATAAAGTTTAAAAAATTATGGGAAAACTCAAGATCTTGTCATATCTATAAAGTGAACATAGATACTATGAAAAAGGAACAGCGAGACTTCAGAGGACACAAAATGGCCTTTAGAAAGTGTGTTTACTGGGGATCCCTTTGCCATTCTGGACAGAACTGGAAGCACTTCTGTGGACGCAGTGTCCAGCATCGCCAGTAGAGGGGGCTGGAGGGCCGCTGTGGCAGGGAGGTGCTGGCTTCTGCTGAGGCCTGTTGGCCAAGCCTGTGAGTGGGGACATCTGGTGGCACTTTGCCTTCGTGATTTTCCCAGAGTGCCTTGATGGCCTCAGGCTGGTGACCGTGTCGATGTGGCCCTCCCAGTACAAATAGCGGCTGGCTCTAGGTCTCCTGCCAGCCGAGGCATCCCGGTTCCCTCCGTGCACACCCTATCACCTTGGGTCTTCTGCCCGTTTTCCAAGGCCCTCCTGACCTGGTCACTGCCATAGGCTTCACACCCACAGTGTCACCCCAACGTTCTCTGTGCACTTGACTTGAATAATATGAGATTTCAGATCAAAGGACCAACCAAGAGCAAGCAGGAGGAATGAATTACGCACACCCAGGCGTGAAGGTGAACGTCCACACCCCTCCGTTTGGGGCTGTTACAATGCAAATGCAGCTGTGAATTTTCTTGGATAAGTCTTGGGTGAACAGATGTTTTTATTTCTCATGAGTAAATACCTGGGGTAGGAGGGTCACTGTGCTGGGCACACAGTCAGAATGTCTGAGGGGCAGTCCAAAGCTGGGCACCTCTGATCCCACCCAGCCACCTTGTTTTATGGGGGGAGCAAACCACAGAACTGAGGCTATAGCTAGAGTGCAGGGAGCCCGAGGGTCAGCTCTTAGCACTCTCCACTGGACCATACCACCTTCGTCTTAGTTCAGAACCTATGTGTATCCAGCTAAATTGCAATTGAATTTCAAGGCAAAATAAAAACATTTTCTGGTGTAAAATGTCCAGAACTTTTCTTCGTGTATCATCTCTTAGAGAGCTGTTTGAAGATCTGATGCAGCTAAATGAGGTGGCAAAAAGCAAAAGGAGAGGAATCCATGGAACCTAAAAAGCAGTGACTGTACCACAGGAGAACAGGAAGGAAAAGTCCCGGAATGACAGCATGCTGCAGGACAGATGAGCCAGATCAGAGCAGGGACAGGGAAGGCTCCAGGGAAGTGTCTCCAGGATAAAAGGGACATTTGCTGTGCTATTCATGGTTAGTAGAGTGGAACAGTCTGAGGATGTGGGGGAGGCACACTATTCTTTTCTCAACAACAACAATCTAAAAAGAAAAAAGAAAAAAAAAAGGCAGTTGGAAACTCCAGGAAAAACAAAAAGCTGACAAGAAATTTATAGTCCAAATGTGAACATGAAGATTTTACCTGATTTTGAGCAATTGCTGGGTATACAAAAAGAGAATCCATTTCACCTTGAAGGTAAGACAATTTGACAATTTAAAAATGGCTTAGGAATTGAGTATTTGGATTCAAAGAGAAGTACTTTAGTCCAGTAAATATTATCCTTTTTGTTTCTTTAGTTGGTTGGTTGGCTTTAATTAGAGCTTTATGTTATACACAGTAGTTGGGTTTATTCCGACAACCTCATGCATGCATGGAAATCAATTTCAGTTCATGATCCTCCCCAATGTCTTTTTTTTTTTTAAGTTCCTAAATGGAACCTAAAAGTAGGAAGACCCTCCCCACTCTTCTAGTAGACCCTTACCAGAGAACAAGTCAGACTACCTAGGGGGTTAGACAGAGCCTCTTCTTTATCTCCTGATCCAAAGGAGGAGAAAAACAGGGAGGGTCACTAACCCAGGGAGGGAGGAGGAAGTTACATTCCCTCTGGAGAGGGAATGAGAGGCACCCAGGGAGTCCCTCTGTGTTTAGAGGAGGGACAGCAGCTCTGCTGCTGGATTCCAGCAGGTGTCCCAGCAGCAGCTCAGACCCTGGGCTGTCTGACCACACCAGGCTGCCACTGGGAGACATGGGACTCTCTCTGCTCTCATAGCATTGATTGGGTGTAGACACGATGCATGTGTTTGGGCCCCAGAACTCCCTGTCCTCTCAAAGTAGAGCTCACTGAAGTCCAATGACATTTCAAATGCCAGTTCAAATGCTGACTTACTAATATAGAGAGGCTCTCCTAACAAATGACATCCACTTCCCGTACCCTATGGCCACCAGACTTCAGCTGATTCAGGTACCAGTAATCCAGGAAATAGGTGGAAAAGATATGCAGCATCTGTCTTGGGAGACCTCCCTAAAGAGGAGAATTCCTGAGGACCTGAGCAGCCGAAGGAGACTAATCAGGGTCCCACTGTCTCTTCTGGGTGTTTTAGGAAAAAATTGAGATGCACTGTGAGATCTTTCTGGAAAGGAGGTGTGTTGAGGGGGTTCTTTGTACCACATCAAAGAAGTGCAGCCACCAGGGCTGTGGGTTAGAGAGGTGTAGTAATGAGTCACAGCCTGTTTCAAATGTGGGCCAAATTTTTTCTGCTTCAGAAAAGCAGTTAATGGTAAGCTTATAAGAAGGTGCCCAGGCCACAGGCAGGGGGTGGTGTGGTCCAATGGAGAGAGCCCTGGGCTGGCCCTTGCCCCTCCCTGCGTCCTGGCTCTGTCTTGAGCTCTGTGGTCCTCTACATCTGTACAACATGGTCACTGGGTCAGATCAGAGGTGACCAGCTCGGAACACTTTGTCCAACAGGACAACCCAGCCACCCCTCCTGGGTAGGAGAGAAAGGAAATGATACGCTGCTTTAGCTGAACTAGCTTCAAACTGACGATAAGCCCAAGGCCAGTCAATTCACGAGCAGACATATGACAGTGTCCCACCGCTATGGCAGCTTGCTACGGGCAATAAAAGGGTCCTGATGCAGGGTGAATCTCGGAAACGTTATTCCGTGTGAAAGAAGGCAGGCACCAAAGAGCACGCGCTGAATGCATCCGTCTGTATGAGATTCTGGAACAGGCGACTCCCCCGTGGGGATGTGAAGCAGGTCAATGGCTGGCCGTGCCTACAGGCTGGGGAGGGCTGGGGGAGGAGGAGAGCCGCCAGGGAACTTTGTGGGGCTCTAGAAGTGGTTTCTGTTTCTTTTCTTTTTTTTTAAATATTTTTTCGTTGTTAATGGACCTTTATTTTTTCATTTATTTATATTCGGTGCTGAGAATCAAACCCAGTGCCTCACACATGTGGGGCAAGTGCTCTACCACGGAGCCCCATGGTTTCTGTTTTGATTGGAGTTATAATTACATTCATCAGAATTCATTAAGCTGTGCACGGAGGGGACTTTTTCATGTACATGAATTATGCCTGGGAGCTGGGGGTGTAGCTCAGTGGGTGAGCACCGTTTAGCACTTGTCTAGCATGCGCCGGTCCTGGGTTTGATCCCCAGCACTTAAAAAAAAAAATTATGCCACAATAAAGTTGATTCAAAAAAATCCCTTAAAGAATCAAGACTACATTCAAAAATTAGGGGATTTCAGGTTGTAACTGGAGTCCCACGGCCACAGTCAGCCCTCTGTTCCATCTGCCCGTCCCCAGTGGTGGGGAAGGGAAGGAAAGGGGCTTTAATGGCCACACCGGGAGGACAGATACAGAGGCACAGTGACAGAGCGGCTGACAGAAACCTGGAGGTCTTATAGTGCGGGGGAATGCTGGCGAAGGAGGCGATCCTGCTTCATGGCTTGAGGGGATGATTCAGTCCCCATCATGCCTCCGGGCTGCCTGGGCTCCTTCCTGGGACACCGCCCCTGCTTGGAGGGGAGCTCATCACGGGGGATCTGTGCTGCCAACCTGGCCCTTCTTGCCATCAAGATGCCTGTCAATCAGACCTGTTGTTCCCGGAATCCAGGTCGCTGCAGAAGAAAGCAGCTCAGGAAAAAAGTTCTAGAGGCAAACAGAGTCAGAGAGGGACAGACAGAATTGGGAAGGTCAGCGTCGGGCCCTCCTTCAAGGTTTCTCTGAAGTAAAATCAGGAGGCCCAGAGCCCAGGGCCCCCTCCTGGGTGAACACAGCTTCTCTGTTTTGACCTCTGAAACACAGATCTGCTCATCTCAGAAGTGACTACCTCCCGGCGGGTCCCCAGTTCCCAGTTAAGTCCTCCCTGGAGACCCAGGTTCTTCCTCGGCTCTGACTCCATGTTGCCTCCCACCCCACAGGTGTGGCTGAGAGGGACACCACCTATGAGCCGCGTCCCCCAGGGACCCACCCCGACTGCAGCACCCCAGGAAGCAGTGAGGCTCCTGCCAGGTGATTCTGTCCCCTCTTCTCCCTCTGGCTGTGGCAGAGATGGCACTGCCCCTGCCATGCCCGGGGGGTTCCTGGGACAGCTGGGCTAGAGGCAGAGTGGCCTGGGCTGGGTCCCCCATGTCAAGCCCACAAGCTATTCTGGGCTCTGTGCCAGAAGGCTGGAAACCTTGTCCCTGCAGTGTCCCCGGCAGGGACTTTGGGCAGAGGTTCTGGGGACCCAGGCTTTGTCCCCCTTTTCCAACTCTATTGTCACCCCTGTCTGACTCTCCCTGCAGCACGGCCCCCACCCTGAGCCCCCTGGTGGACTCCCACACCAGCAGGATGCTGCCCAGCCCCACCGTCTCCCTCCCCTCCACGGGAAAGCCCATTCTGGACCCAGGTAAGGATGGGGAGGGGCTGGGAGGTGTGGCCTGGGGCGGGGGTGGGGAATCAAGGTTGACCCCAGACTCCTGGCGCTTGACTTACAGCTGCCACTCAGCTGCCTGCGTGCTAATTACTGTTCTTTGTATGCTTCTTTCCTTTCCTTTCTGTCTTCTTCTTTTAAATATTATGCTTACATCTTTTTATTTTATTTATTTTTATCTGGTTCTGAGGATCGGACCCAGGGCCTTGCGTGTGCTAGGCGAGTGCTCTACCGTGAGCCACAGCCCCAACCTTTGTTGTTGTTGTTGTTACTGGGGATGGAACCCAGGGGTGCTCTTCCACAGAGTGACAGCCCTTTCTAGTTTTAAATTTTGAGACAAGGTCTAGCTAAGTTGTAGAGGCTGGCCTTGAACTTACAGTCCTCCTGCCTCAGCCTCCTGAGTCATGGGATTACGGGCCTGTACCACTGCACCCAGCTCCTATTCTTTGACTATTGCAAATAGGGTTTTTTTTTTCCTCACGTCCTATCCATACGGCTGTAATTGCTACTCAGAAAAAATTTGTTGAGTGACTACACGACCCTGACTAGTTGCATAATCCCTTTGATCCTCGGTTTTCTCAACTGTGAAACGGTAGCAGCATAGGCCGTGCAGGGTTGTAAGCATGTGGCGTGTGGTTAGCACCTGTGAGGCACATTGGCCACCGTCCCTTAGCTCCTGTGAACTGATAACCAGGCAATCCCTTTTAGGACTGGCAGTTCCAGCCACTGACGCTAGGTGGCGATAGTTCTCAAGCCAGTAGTTCTCAAAGTTGCGTCCTGACCCCGCAGCCTCAGCCCCCCTGGGAACTTGTTAGAGCCCCCCATCCTGGGCTGCACCCCCACATCTATACCCAGATAACAAGCGCACAGGCTCCGGGGTCTGCCTGGCCTGGCCTGCGTGGTGACTCTCCCACCCCTCAGGGTGACTGGGTAGGATGGGGAGGGGGCTGGAGACAGTAATGGCCGCTGACTGGCTGAGTGTGCTCATGCAGAGCAGGCCCCTTGCTTCTCTGAGGCGTGGCTGAGACGGCCCATCTGATCAGCGTTCCACTCCGTCCTCCTCAGTGATCCGTCCTCCCTGCCCTGGCTCTAGCCACACTGTGCCCTCCTCCACGGCCCCTAGTCTTTGTTCTTTTGAACCTCAATTTCCTCTTCAGGTTCCTTGACACCTCTAAAATGGTTTGCTCTTCTTGCAACTAGAAATATCAATCAGCTTCCTGGAGCCAGGTAGGGAAGGCGGGATCAAATATAGCTCTGGCTTGGGAAAAGACCAACGACTGTTAGCCACAATGGAATCCAAGTCCCAAGAGAAGGAGGAAGTAGTCTGTGGCTAGTCCTGTGTGGTTGTAGTGAAGGCCCCCAGCTCAGTGTTCTTGGGCAAAGAATAAATGACATGTCTGTGTTTCAGGACCCATGCTCTTCTGGGTGATCATGGTGCTGGTTCTGGTGGTTGGTTCCACCTTCTTCCTCCTGTGTCACCAGAGGGCCTGTAGGAGGCGATTTCGGCAGAGTGAGTGGAGGGGTCCTTGGGGACCTGGGAAGGATGCTTGCCCTGGGCCAGCTTGGCCGGGGTCCCTGCCTGTCCCACGCTGTGGGAACAGTGCCCAGCCCTCTTCCTGATGTCGTTTCAGAGCTCCACCTGTGCCACCCAGCCCAGCCCTTCCCGCCCAAGCTGGAGCCTGTGGGTAAGTGTCCCACAGCGCCCCCTGGGTCTGGGCTCGGGAGACTGGCCTCCTCCCAGCCCAGCCCTGGCCCATCTGTACGGCCTCCGGGGTCACCCCTCCTTTCTCTCCAGCCTCGTCTCTAATGGGGATGTAACGTGGAAGAAAACTGGTTGTGGGTTGGGCTGGGGCTCTGGGTTGTGCAGGGCGCTGGTGCGGACCAAGCCACCGTGGCTCTCACCCTCCCGCCTGGCCCCCCTGTCCAGACTGCCCCCCTTCCTGCCCTCCTGAGCAGACCCTGGTGGGGCCCAGGTGAAGAGGGCAGCCTGCAGGCCGAGCCCAGCGTTCACCCCTTACAGGCCCCCCTCCGTGGCCTTGGGGAGTTGCCTAGTGCCTGTGCCTCAGTGTCCTCGCCTGTGAAGCGGGGACAGTGGGGCCCACTGGGAAGGCCGCGTGGGAGGCAATCGAGTGGCCTCCTGAGCACTGCGGAGCCCAGGCCCACGGGCAGCACTCGGTTGATCGCTGGGGCCTCTTCCCACAGGAGTCCAGGCCTCCCGGGTCCCAGGTGGCTTGACCCCTCCCTGGTCCCTGCTCTTGTCGCCACCCAACCTCTAGGCTGACCTTCCAGGCAGCAGTCAGGGCTCCTGACCCCTCCCCCCCGGGCCCAGGCAGGGTTCATGCAGCTTTCACTGGGACCGGGGTCACCTCGTGCCCAGGGCCCCCTGGGTCATCTCGTACCCAGGGCCTCGTCTCCCTGGGCAGCCTCTCTGGGCAAGGTCCTCCTTAGCACTCCATAGGCATCAGCTGAGCACCTACTGTGTGCAGGGCCCTGACTCTTGGGCTCTGCATAGACTGGGGAATTGCCTTGCTTCCTGGCTTATGAGGCAGCTTCTGGTGACCTGGTGGTGGTCGATCCACAGGGAGGAAATGAGGCTCGGAGGGTGGGGGACAGCTGGCCGGGGCACTGCTCCTTGGGAATTCTGTCCGGCTGCTGTAGGGGCCTCAGCGCTTCCTGCTGCTTCCTCCCCTCAGCTCTGTCCACCACCCAGTGCCCACCCAAGAGCCCAGTGGTCTAGAGACACAGCCACTGCCCCTGTCCCAAGAGTCCCCCAGGACCCTTGGGAGCCTGGGAGTGGGCCGACTCTTGACCTGGGCACAAAAACACGGTCCGCCGAGGCTGTTTTGAATCCGCTGAGTTTCCGACGTGAGCTGCGCTGCCTCTGCAGGGGCTTTTTGTTTTGGTGGTTTCAAGCCTGTTTCCGTGAGCTGTCGGGCTCCGTGTCGCATTGAAACTGCCATTTGCTTTCTTGACATTTTTCTAGTATTAGACTTTCCATTGCCGTCAGTTTGTTTTCTTCTTTTAAACCTTTGTGAGAGCAGTTTTGTTACAAAAAGAAAAAAAAAAAAAAGGCCCAAAGACACCTCCCTTCCCTTAAGAGGCCAAACCTGAGGACCTGAGCCCAGACTCAGCGGGGGACAGTCTGACTAGGCCCTTTCTGGCCCCCTGGCTTCCTGTGGGTCCCCCGGGTCTGGGTAACCAGGCCTGAGAAGGGAGGGGTTGGCAGGCAGCAGGACACAGGTGGGCACAGACAGCGGGCGCCACTCTAGCCCCCGGCCCAAGAGCTGCGGAGGAGCCCCCTGATATGCTCGCCGTCCGTCCATCCTGGAGCAGGCTCTGTGAGGGATGGCATCTGTCCTGGCTCTCCAAGCTTTCAGACCAGTGTCACTGTGGGGATGGGCCAGAGAGGAGTGGATGGGACTGTGCTTCCCCCCCACCCCCAGGCACATCGGGGACTTCTCCAGGGGCGCTCTCCTTCCCTGGGGGTCACGCTCCATCCCTGAGTGGCCTCGACTGTACTGCCCGTGTCCCGGTGACAGGCATTGGCACAGCACACCCTTGATCTCCTTTGACACCTGCAGCAACCTGTGAGGCACCTACTCCCTGCAGATGAGCAGCCCAAGGTGCAGGAAGACGTGGTCACCTTGCTGAAGGCCACCTGCTTAGCCAGTCCCAGGCTGGTTTTTGGGGGTTTTTTAATTGTAGATGGACGCAACCTTTATTTTGCTTATTTGTTTTTTTATGTGGTGCTGGGGATCCAAACCCAGCGCCTCAGGCATGCTAGGCACGCGCTCGGCCACTGAGCCCAGCCCCAGCCCCCAGGCTGGGTTTCTGATGTCACCCTCAGTGCCACAGAGCAGATGATTCTTTGCTGTGGGGACTCTTCTGCACGTCATAGGATGTTCAGCAGCTCACGAGATGACAGTCACATCCCCCAGTTGTGACAACCAGAAATGTCTCCAGATATTGTCACTAGGCCCCCCGTGGGCAAAACTGCTCCTGGTTGAGAACCCCAGGTGTAAACCTCTGTGTTAATGAGCCTCCTCCCTCCCTCCTGGGCCAGTTTCTGCCTCTCTCGGTCAGGGTCACCCCAGGTGCTCAGGAAGGGTGCAGGCTGGGGACCCAGCAGATGCCCGACTTGGAGATTGTCTGGGGTCTGCTGTGAGTGGGTCAGGCCTTGGGCTGGAGGATGTCAGAAGCAATGCCGGCCTTCCAGGGCATCCTGCTGGGCCGCCACCTGCCCCTTCCTGGAAGCCGAGGTCTGCCAGGCCTCTCCCCTGTGAGACTGTGTCAGCAGCCAGTTCTTATCAGGTTTCGTTTTCTTCATTTGTACATTTATATCCAGATGGATTCCTGGATTTCTGTTTGATTCAACGTGCTGTCATCTGTCATGATCTGTTAGTTACCACCATTGTAACAGACTGCGAGGTCACTGGCCCAGACTGGGCAGCCCCCTCAAGCTGGCTCCTGTGTCCTTGTGTGACATGCCCCCCATCTCTTAGTGATTTGGACACTTTTTTAGGGGGAGGGGGTACTGTGGATTGAACCCAGGGGTCTACCACTGAGCTACATCCCTGAATCTTTATTTTTTATTTTGAGGTAGCAGCTTGCCAGGTTGCTGAGGCTGGCCTCCAACTTGCAATCCTCTTCCCGAAGCCTCCCGAGTCACTGGGATTATAGGCCTGTGTCACTTCTTTTTTTGTTGTTGTTACTGGAACTCAGGGGCACTCGACCACTGAGTCACACCCCCAGCCCTATTTTGTATTTTATTTAGAGACAGGGTCTCACTGAGTCGCTTAGTGCCTCGCTAAATCGATGAGGCTGGCTTTGGACCTGGGATCCTCCTGCCTCAACCTCCAGAGCTGCTGGGATCATAGGTGTGCGCCACTGCGCCCGGCATCACTTATAAGAAACTCCTGGCTGATCTTGTCCCCTCCTCCCTGAACCCCTCCTGGGTCATCTCTCCAAGGAGCTCCAGGTGTGGACCTAGGGACGCCTGGCACCAAAGCCTGGCGGGGCCGCTACGCCTACTCCTTCCTCGGGGCTGCAGGAGGACTGTGACAGGGACGGGAGGGACCCAGAGCTCTGACACCTGCGTCAGGACTCATTGTGCTCTTGGCGCTCGGCCCACTGAGCGAGCAGCCTTGGGATGCCACGTTCTTGTCCCCAGGTCACTGCTGCACAGTGTGACCTGGGCTTGGCCCCCGGAGGTTTTCTGGGAAGATCGTGGTTATTCCAAAAAGCAAGGAAACCGTAACTGAGCCGGACTGAAGCTTTGTGAAATCTGACCTCTGCCCTCGGCAGGATTTGCTTTGGGTCTTTATCAAAGCACTTGCGGGTTGTCACAGGGCTGCAGACAGAGGCCAGAACCTTCTGGATCCTGCCTTGTTACCTTGTGTCATTTGACACTTGTTTTCAAGCGTCTTCGGTGTCACCTGATGGTCTGTTTTTCCACGAGGTTGAGGCCAGCCGTGTCAACACCCCGGCTTTGTGCGACCCACTGTGTGCCAGCAGCAGCCTGGCACTTTCCCTTGGTCACATTTTGATCAGGAAAAAAAAAAATTCTGAATGCACTTCACTTTTTGGAGGAGCGTTAGATTTATGGAACATTGAGAAGGTGGCTCAGGGTCCTCCGAGCCCCCCACAGGAAGGCCTCCCTGCTTAGCATCTCACACAGTGTGTCCTTTGTCACTGTAAACAGTGGCGTGGTCTCCTTGTTGTTAGTGACACCCACACTTCATCACACTCACTTGGCTCATAAGGTGCCACCACCCCCACCTTTAGTCCTCTCATCGCCTCCCTCTGGTGGCCCAAGGCTCAGGCTTTCCTTGACCTTGGTGGCCTCGGCAGTTTGCAGGCGGTGGCCAGGCATTCTGCAGGATGTCCCCGTCGCTGGGCTTGGTCTGATGTTTTTCTTGCAGCGAGACCGGGCTCTGGGTGTGGGGGAGGAAGTTCACAGAACAGAGGGCCACACCCAGGGTCCAGGGGCTTGGTCTGACTTAGCCCCGGTCACTGCAGGCTGAGAGCCGCCCGACCTTCATCAAACCTTCAGGGGCTGGTAGGTCTGTCCCACTTTCCAGATAAGGAGACCAGGCTCAGAACAGTGAAGTAAGCTGCTGCCGTCGCCCAGGTGGCCCCGCGGGGTGTTTGGCTGCCTTTCAGGTGTTTGTTAAGTACCCGCTGTCCTCTGCCTTCTGGTTCTCTTTAGGACTTCCTGAGGGTGTGGTCCCCAGAGAAGGTCAGTTGGGCCAAAGGGCTGAGGTTCACCACAGATGGCTCTTAAAAAGATGAAACCCTTTGGGCACGGTGGCCCCCACAAATCCCAATAACTCGGGAGGCTGAGGCAGGAGGATTGCAAGTTCAAAGCCAGCCTCTTCAATTTAGCGAGGCCCTAAGCAACTCAGCAAGACCCTGTCTTTAAATAAAATATCTTAAAAAGGGGTTGGGGGTGTGGCTCTGGGTTAAGCACTCCTGGGTTCAGCACCTGGTGCCCAAAAACAAACCAACCAACCAACCTGTTCACAGGGCATGGGCATCTCTGAGAGCCAGCTGGCCACCTCCTCCCCAGGCCGAGTTGGTTGCTTCTGTTTATTTTGTCTTGTTACTTCGGTACACACTTTTTCTCCTGGCCCTCCCCAAAGCCTTGGCAGCAAACATCAGCTGGCTGTTTACAAAATTCCAGATTACTCTCAGGAGAGGGCTCCGTTGACATCATTTTTTAAAATATGCCTGAGGCCAAAGAGTATCAAAGTCGTGACTTGGCAGAGGATGGCATCCCCCTCAAGGTCCCAAGCTGTGACCTCCAGATGTGACACCCCCCACCCCCACCCCTCCCCCCAACAGCAGTTACCAGGAAGGATACGTCGGTGGGCACGTGGGCTGCATTGAGACTCTGCCTCGTTATCTTTGAGCCTCAGTCTGGCCCATTTCCCCGCCAGACGCGGTCCACTGCTGACGGGCTTGTACACGAAGCCCCAGAAGCACGTCCTAAAGCCACCGAGGGTCCTGCTGCACGGCCACACTGCAGTCAGATTGGCATTTTGTCTCGTTGGCTGTTTGGTTGGCCTGCACAGATGTGTCGGCGGGGATTCAGGGCTGCCGGGTCCAGAGGCAGCGGGCTGACCTCTAGGCAGGTGGGCCCACTGCACAGGCCTGACAGCACGTTCTAGGTCTCTGCGGGTGGCCTCTGTGGGATCCTTCAGGGCTGTGCTGGGCCTGGGTGGCCTGCTCTGTCATGGACTCGATGGCAGGTGCCCCCCTGTTTTTCTTAGCTGGCCAGTGGGCCATTAAGTGTCAGGAGATTTTCAGCCATGACCCGGCCCCTGGTTCACGAGGGAGAACACCAGAGCTGGGGGCCCTTTAGATGAGGAGGTAAGGGTTGTGCCTGAGCCAGGTGCAGTGGTGCACGCCCACCATCCCAGTGGCTTGGGGGGGCTGAGGCAGGGGGATCAAGCGTTCAAAGCCAGGGCTGGGTTTGGGGCTCAGAGGTAGAGCGCTCGCCTAGCACGTGCAAGGCCCTGGGTTCCATCCTCAGCACCACATAAAAATAAGTAAATAAAATAAAGATATGTGTCCAACTACAACTAAAAACTAAATATTAAAAAAAAAAAAGTTCAAAGCCAGCCTCAGCAACCTGGTGAGGCCCTGTCTAAAAAAATAAAAAGGGCTGGGGTGTGGCTCAGCGGTAGAGCATCCTGAGTTCAACCCTTAATACCCCGCCTCACACACACAAAACCAAAGTCAAGGTCATGCCCAAGACTCACTGTTTGGCACCTCCTGAGACCACACAGGGTGGCTCGGGAGGAAGTAAGCCACTGTCCTCCCCAGGCCGGCAGCCCGGGCTCTTTCAGGCACATGGAAGATGAAGTGGATCTCGGAAAGGTCCTGGGGGGAGCTGGCTCCAGGAGCCTCCGTCAGGGCTCAGCTAAAACCCTCAGGGTCCATTGTCCTCCCTGTCCCTTGCCTTGAGGTCCTCTAGGGGGCTCTGCAGGGCACTCTCAGGATTCTGGGCTGTCCAGCCCCTAGAGGCTGCAAGGTGGTGGCAGCAGCCATAGGCACCTTCTAGCCAGCAGAAGCCTCCTGGGCTCAGGTTGGGGCGTGTGCTCGCCCTGACCAGCCGTTGTGCCTGTTGGGGTGTGGGGAGTCGGGCAGGGTCCAGTGTGCTAATTGGCTTAATCCCTCCAAGTGAGAGTAGTATGGAGGGGAGGTCCCCTGGGGTCCCCCAGGTCTCCAACTCAGCTGAGCATTGGGAGGTGACCTGACCCTGAACCCGCCACCGTGCTCCAGACTGAGGGCCTGAGCCCTGGGCTGGGAGTCAGCACCGCCCACCTACCTTGCGGGAAAGCTGACAGGTGGGGGGGGGGTTGGTGGCCGCCCCCTCCTGGCTGAAGCTGCTGTTCTTTGCTTTTTGCAGATTCCAGACCCAGGAGGAACCTGGCAGTAAGTACCTCCCCATACCTCACCCAGCCCCTGGGTCTGACCTTTCCCATCAGCCTGTGGGTTTGAGGGCCGCGGGGGAGGGTCGTTCCCTTCTCTCCCAAGTGCCCAGAGTTGGGCCCCTTCGGGGAGCACGGAGCCTGGCAGGCCGGGCCAGGGACGAGGGCTCCACCCACAGCAGCCTGGGCTCCTGGCACAGCCGCAGGGGATTTCCAGAAGGGCTTGCATCAGGACCGTCGGGTCAGGAGAAGGGCTCGGCGTCCCACTGTCCTCCACTCCTGGGTCTTGAAGACCTGAAGCTAGATGGCAAACCAGCAGCACAAACTTAAACTCGCCACCTACTGAGCACTGGCTGCAAGCCGGCCACCTGCTTTCTAAAAGTGTCTCGGGTGCTCGTGACACTCAGGAGCTGCTATGTTGTCCTGTTTCACAAAAGGGACACAGTGGCCTGGACAAGTTAAGAGGCTACTAGTCAGGGCTCCATGAGGGCTTGAGCCTGGCTTTGTGTCTCCTGAGCTGCCTCCGAGGGGGAGGTCCCCTCATTCCTTAGGAAGTGCTCTCCATGTGCCCTGCGCTGGGCTGGGGCCTTTGTCACCACTCCCGCAGTTCTTCCAGCCACCAGTACAGGGGGCGTCTGGGGCCTCGCTAGGCTTGTCCTGGTGCCCCGTCCTGGGCCCAGCTTCCCAGGGCTGTGTGGGGACGTGAGGTAGGGCGCTGGTCTCGGGAGCTGGCGGAGGGGCGCTGGCTGAGACGCTTGGATACAGTTACTCGGTTCCTCTGTGCCTTGGTTTCCTCATTGTTAAAGGGGCAGGTGCTGAAATCCCGCTCCTCATGGGATGGTTGGGAGGATCGACGCGCTAGTGTGTTAGAACAGGGCTCTGCACACAGTGGGTACCGCGTGAGTCGCTGACGGCCATCCTTGTTATTTGGTACGAATTAAAAGCTACCATGGTGCCTGGGATGCTACGCACAGCACTCCCTGGAATGCTTGTGGCAGCTTTTTTTTTAAACATCTTTTTTTTTAATATTTATTTTTTAGTTTTAAGTGGACACAATATTTTTATTTTACATTTATGTGGTGCTGAGGATCGAACTCAGTGCCTCAAGCATGCTAGGCAGGCGCTCTACCCCTGACACACAACCCCAGCCCCTGCTTGTGGTAAGGTTTAAAGCAGAGGGGAGACTCCCTGGAGGTTTTAGGGGTGAAGAAAAGAGGGTGTCACCATTTGGGGACATGGGGAGTTGGGATGCCCTGCTCAGCGCCCATTCCCTTCCCACAGCAGCCCAGAAGTGCATTGGAGACCGAGCCCAGCACAGAAGAGAAGAGCTTTGTGAGCCCCCCGGCTGCGGAGACCTGTGTCAGTGTGGGGGCAGCCTGCCCGGAGAGCCTGCCCCTGCTGGATTCCAGCCCAGGCGGGGCCCCCTCATCCCCCAGGGACCCCCCTGAGCCCCGAGTGTCCACAGAGCACACCAATAACAAGATCGGTGAGTCAGCCTGTTTCAGGGTTCCCCGTGTGGCTCGGGGAGCTGCGGGGAGCTGGGTGCTGGACTCTGGGTGGAAACTGGAGACCCTAGGACCTCGACGTCCACCGGGAAGGACAGGATTCCCCTGCATCTTGCCCTGCGGCTGCCCCGTGTGAGTTCTGCTAAGGTAGAATGGCTATGGGTTGACCTCCTGGAACCACCGGGGACTTGAGCATAGATTCCTGAGCACAATGTCTGCTATCGTTAAAGGAAAGATGATATGAAGGCCACCCCAGCCCCCCACCCAGAGACAGGAGTGGAGGTGCCCGTGACCCTGAGACCTGCCACTTGTTTGGCACATGTCTTTGCCTCTTACTGTCATGACACCTTCTGGGGATGGTGTCCTTCTCCCCATGTTACAAAGAAGGAAGCTGTGGCTTAGCCCAGTGAGGTCCTTTTGCCTCTCCTATGGCTGAGAAGGATGCAGCTGGGCCTCAACCCGCATCTGCTGGGCTCTGCAGCCCTTGGCTTGTCCGCTGGCCTCTGCAGAAGCACAGAGACCATGTTGGGCCAGGGAACCCAGCACTCCCCAGCTGTGGCTGCCCTTGAGCTTGGACAAACTTGCTGCTGGCCTGGTACAACCAGAGCACTTCCCCCAAAGTATGTACCTGCCCAGATTCCACCCCTGCTCAAACCCTGCCGCAGTCCCCGTCCCCTTCAGCACAAATCTGGGACTCTCAGTTGGCAGTCAAGCTAGCCCCTCCCTACCAGACTCACCTACTGGACCCTGCTGGTCTGCCTCCCACTTCATGGTGGTTTCCAGAACTTTCAGACCTGTCTCACCTCTGAGCCTCTCTGCAAGGAACAACCAACTCCCCTCCCTCAAGTCCAGTAAATTCCTGAGGCTCCTCTTCCAGGAAGCCCTCTCTGCCCTCTCTGCTCTACGGAGTAGGCCAGGTGCCCCTCTGCTGCCTACCCTGAGACCTTGGGCTCTTCCACCCAGGGGCCCAGCACCCAGCCTGGGCCTTCCCCGCCTCTACCAGGTGGGAGCTCCCCGGGGCAGGCCTCGGTGGGCCCCCTCTCCTCCTTCTCTGGGAGGGAAACTGACCCTCAGATAATAGCAGAGAGCATTTGATGTTCTGCCCATTTCCATGGCAGGCTCTGGTGGGAGAACTTCAGGGCAGTATTTCCTCTTGAACAAACTTTTGCAATCACAACTTTCAGGAAGTTTTCTTTGAAAAGAATGTGTTTTGGGGAAATGCCAAAGGCTTCCCCTTCAAATTTCCTGAGAATTAAGTCCTCGTTGGAATGTTCAAGCCCACGCTGAGCAATCCTGGATGGAACTCGGGGCCCAGGGAGCCGAGCGAGGGAGGGGAGGGCCGGCTCTCCCCAGGTTCCGGCTGCTCTAGTCCGTGGGCCGCCTTCCCCAGCAGCCCGCTGGCCTCACTGGCGTGCAGCGGGGTAGGCCACTCTGCCAAGGGAAGGCCTTGGAGCTTCTCCTGGACAGCAGGACATAGATGACCCCTGTCCTTCTGATGCCACCCCAGCTTCCTGTCTCCTCCTGGGTACCAGGCATGGGGCCCCCCCCTCCCCTGTCCAAGACAACCCCCTCAGAGCCCTGGGTGGGCAGGAAGAACCCCCCACAGCTGGAGGTGGGCAGCCCTGTGATGGGGCAGAGCCAGAGGGACCAGGCCTAGTGACATGTAAGGGGTGACAGCTTGGTCCCAGCTTTGGCTGCTTCTGTCCCAACCAACCACTCTTCCCCGACGTCCTATCTTCCCGCCTCTCCTCTCTCCTGCTGTCTGCCCTCTGCCCTCCCTTCTGTCGCCACCTGGGGACCCCTTGCACACAGCCTCCGGCCCCTGTGGTCAGTGCTTCCCAGGCGGGGGGCCCACAGGCGTGGTGGAAGGCGGAGGCTGGGGCGCGAGGCCAGCTGCCTGCTCTGGGGCTTGGGGGGCTCCGCGGTCCCCTGTTCCCCGCCCTCTGGTTCTCACTGTTCTTTCTAACACTTCTCTCTCTCCTGAGCTTATAAAAAACCCAAAATAGAAGAGCTGTGTTATGCAACGGGCCGAGGACGCAGGGTCCTTGAGAACCTTTCTGGGGTTCCTAAATCTGATGGGTGTAACCGGGTCACCCAGGAGGCAGGGGTCCCTGTACCCCTGTGGCACCCCACCCCTGCTCTCAAGTTCCCTCTCGAGTTTCCTCATTCAGCCTCCAGAGTCTAGGGGGGGACAGCTGGAGCTGGGCCCTGGCCGGAGCCTGAGGCCATCGACCTGCCTTCCCAGCCTCTCGGGACCTCACCTCCCCGAGCCTCCGTGTCTCCTTCCATGAGAAGCCCAACTGGAAGCCCCCACACCAGCCAGGGGCCTGTGCCGGGTCCTCATCCAAGTGATGATGACCCAGACCCACTCTGCCTGTAGGCCACGAGGCCACGGAGAGATGGGCCCCAAGCAAGACACTCCAAGACTGCCCCCACTGAGGCTATCCAGGTCACCAGCTGCTGCTGATTAGCAGGGCCAAGGCCGTTGTCCGTGCCTCCAGCTGGCTGGGTTTGCGTGGCCTGAGGGGCCCCTGAGATGCAGGACTTTCAGTCCCAGGCAGAGGGGACAGTTAGTGGCCCCAGGTGTCTGCTTTAGGCAAGCGGATGGAAGCAGAGAGGGTTGCCTGGCGAGTGGGAGTTCCCTCTGTGCTTTCCCCTGATGACCTTGGGGGGCTCATCTGACCTTGCCAGGCTGCAGGGTCTCGTCTGGGGGGCCCAGAGCTGACGCGTGGGGAGCGCCTGGGGATGCTCAGTGCGGCTGCTCCTTGTAGCTGCTGGCCTTCCCCACAGCTCCCTTGGTCTCCCAGCCACGTTCTCTCCTTCCCTACCCATCCCCAAAGAAGTGCCTCCAAAATCATGAGCATCCCCATTAAGTAGCATGTGGGCCAGTTCTGTGCATCAGAAAGGGTGTGTCATCTGCCTGAAATCACACAGCAGCAGTGGTAGAGGAGGAGGGACTCGGCCCCTCTTCTGCCTCCTTGCTCCCGTTCTGGGCTCTGGCCTCCCCTCCTCACCCATCCTTTTGCCTTGCAGAGAAGATCTACATCATGAAGGCTGACACAGTGATCGTGGGGACTGTGAAGACAGAGGCGTCTGAGGGCCGGGGCCCCGTGGGGCCTGTGGGGCCTGAGGCAGAGCCGGAGCCGGAGCTGGAGGTGGACCATGCCCCACATTACCCAGAGCAGGAGACAGAACCGCCCCTGGGCAGCTGCGGGGACGTCATGTTCTCTGTGGAGGAAGAAGGCAAGGAGGACTTGGGGCCCACAGTGGCCTCTGGGAAGTGAGGCCCAACCTGGGCTGCGGGAGGGCAGCTGGTGCCCCTTGGAGGCCAGCGGGGCAGAAGATCGTGTGCCTTGGACTGAGGCCCAGCGTCTAGTAGTGGACCGGGGATGGGGCACCCGGCTCTGCTGCTGCCCAGAGCTCTGGTCTCAGCGGTGGCACCTGAAACTTGCCACCAGGACCAGTGCCCAGCATCGGGCCAGCGCCCACTGAGGGAGTGAGCACGAGGCTGGTTCCCAGTCCCTGTCCACACCCTGTGTCCCTCCCCTGTCCCTGGGCCTCAGAGCTGACACATCAGGCCTGCTGGCACGCCCCAGCCCCCAGTTACTGTAAACATGGCTCCCAGCGGGCACGGTGCCAGCGCCTGTGGTTTTTTCTCCTGAGTCAGAAGGGAAGTCGAGGAGTGGGTGTTGGCGCTGGCACCATGTGGGCTACAGCTGTGGCGCTGCACCTCGCCCCAGCCTCCCCAGGCTGCGGACCTCCCTGCGGCAGCCCCTTCCCTGCCCAGCCCCCATGGTAAGCCCAGGTCCGTCCACTCCTCCCAGAAGTCCCCACTCAGCCCCGAGCAGGAGGCCTTTCAGGGCCCAGGTATGAACAAACAGGACATTTTAAAAGGAATTGCCCCATAGGAGGAGGGTTTAACAAAACTAGGTATCAAAGGAGTAGAATACCAGGTATTTGCCCACGATGCCGTAGAGGGAGACATTGGGCTAATGAATGCTGTTCTCAAACCATCATAGAGGGTACTCCGTTATCAAAAAAACGGACAAGAACCAGGTGTTTACCCACAATATCGTGGAGAAAGGCATCAGGCTCCATTGCCAAAAAACGGACAGGGAGGCCCAATGCTCTTGGGCCCACGACCACAAATATACAGGGCAGTGGAGGAACCCAGCAACATCATGGAGGAACCCAGCAACCCCATCAGGGTAGTGCCCGGGACACATTATCCATCAGATCTCTCATCAGACAAACCAGAGGGAGCGCAGGGTTGGACATCTGCACCTCTGCCAGAGCAGTACTAACTCCAGAGATGGGAGTTCAAATCATTCCCACAGGGGTAAAAGGACCTCTTCCCAAAGGAACGGTAGGCTTATTATTGGGACGCAGCTCTTCTACTCTAAAAGGACTTATGATAAGTCCTGGGGTAATTGATCCCGATTATGAAGGTGAAATAAAAATTATAGCCAGTTCTCCAAAGGGTATATCAGTAATTTCACCAGGAGATAGAATAGCACAGTTACTAATAATACCAAGCCTACATGATAAATTTTCCAGTCGTGCTGTAGAAAGAGGTTCCAGGGGATTAGGCTCCACAGGTGTAGATTGGGCTATGCTTTCTTTAAATTTAGATTCTCGCCCCATGCTAAAACTAAATATTCAAGGACATGAATTTAACGGGCTACTGGATACAGGTGCAGACCTTAGCATCATCTCTCGTCAAGAATGGCCAAAACATTGGCCATTACAACAAGCCACTCAAACGCTTCGAGGCCTAGGAGTGGCGACTAATCCCCATAGAAGTGCAATGGTATTAGATTGGAAGGATCCTGAAGGATGTGAAGGAACTATACAGCCCTATGTATTGGATCATCTTCCTATAAATTTATGGGGACGAGATGTCCTAGATCAATTAGGTTTGACATTAACAAATAACATCAATCAAAATGCACCCACTATTATGACTGGACAAGGTTTTAGGAAAGGAAAAAGATTAGAAAAACAAGAACAAGGTATAGCAGCACCAATACAAATAGATCAAGGAATAGACAGACATGGGTTGGATTTTCAGAAAGGGCCACTGAGACAATAAAAATTACTTGGAAATCAGAAAGACCAGTATGGGTTCCTCAGTGGCCCCTGACTAAAGAAAAGATACAAGCAGCCCATGACCTGGTCAAACAACAATTAGCAGAAGGACATATACAACCTTCTGTATCTCCCCATAATACTCCCATTTTTGTCATCAAAAAGAAATCTGGTAAATGGAGATTATTGCAAGATTTAAGAGCCATTAATAATGAGATGGTTATTATGGGACCTGCTCAATCCGGGATTCCTCAATTGTCTGCTTTGCCAAAAACTTGGTATGTTTTAGTTATAGATATTAAAGATTGTTTTTTTCAATTCCAATTCATCCTGAGGATAGTCCACGTTTTGCATTTACTATCCCTGCACTGAATCATGAAGGTCCTGATCAGAGATATGAGTGGAAAGTACTCCCTCAAGGGATAGCTAACAGCCCAACTATGTGTCAAATTTATGTTAACAAAGTAATCCAGCCACTTAGAAATCAAAATCCTGAACTACAAATATTTCACTATATGGATGATGTATTATTAGCACACAAAGCTAAAAACACATTGCTAGAATGTTATGCCACACTTACAAACTTATTAAAAAATTATAATCTAGAGATAGCAATAGATAAAGTACAATTAAATTTTCCAATTAATTATTTAGGAGTTCTATTATCCTCAACCATGGTCCGTCCACCAAAAATTCAAATACGAGTAGATCAACTCAAATCACTTAATGACTTTCAAAAGTTATTAGGAAACATAAATCGGATAAGGCCTTATCTAGGTATACCAACAGGAGAGTTGGGACCTTTATTTGATATCCTAAAAGGTCCATCAGATCCAAATTCACCCCGAATGTTAACGCCTGAAGCAAGAAAGGCATTAAAAATCATTGAAACATATATGGAAAATATGCATTTGGATAGAATTGATATAAGTTTGCCTTTATTATTTATTGTACTACCAACAAAAAATATTCCTACAGGAGTATTTTGGCAAGAAGGTCCATTATTATGGATACATTTATCTTATTCTCCTAACACTATTCTTACTAGGTATCCTGAGGCTGTAGGACAATTAATACTCAAAGGAATAAAAGCAGCAAAGGGAGTGTTTGGAATTTCTTCCAATAAAATTATTACTCCATATACTATGAATCAAATTGATGAATTAGCTAATGAGTTAAATACTTGGGCAATAATCATGTGCAAATCTAATGTTTCATTTGATAACCACTTACCATCTAATCCTTTATTGTCTTTTTGGTCATTGCATCCTGTAATTTTTCCAAAAATGACAAGAAAAACATCTATCATGAATACTCCAAATATATTCACTGATGGGTCAAATAATGGTACAGCAGCAATAGTTCACCTGATCAAACTTTTACATTTTTAGTACCCAAACAATCAGCTCAAAAGGTAGAGCTTAATGCAGTTTTACAAGCTTTTGTGATGTTTAAAGATTCTGTATTTAATTTATTTTCCGATAGTCAGTATATAGTTAATGCTATAGTATCCCTTGAAGATGCTGGTAGGATTTCCCCTTCCTCTACTGTTTTCTCTTTGCTTTCCACTATACAAAGTCTAATCTGGGACAGAAAAGATCCAATTGCAATGGTACCAACCTAAGACAGGAGGCTGACGCCTTGAGGTCAGCTCATCCGATAACTGGTAAGGACCATATGTACTATTGGACAACCTAAGGCAGGCACGGTCCCTAAGCCACATGCTTGTGTTTAAACAGAGAGGGGGAGATGTTGAGAGCCACAGCCGAAGGGGCCCCAGCAAACTTTCAGACTGCCAGCTGATGATTGGCTCACAGCGGCCCAGCAACATCTAGCTGATTGGCTCCTCTGCGGTGATGCTCATTGGGCTGTTTCCCCGCCCTTTCAGACTACGGAGCTGCTCATTGGGGGACTTTTTTGGCTCCGCCCACGCGACCCAGACAATCGGCCTCAAGAGCAGGAGGAGTGGGGGAGGAGAGAGGCTTGTGGGAAGCCGGTGGTGGCAGTTGGGCTCTGAGGGTTTTTCCTGAGGAGCTGTTTTGTTTGGTGTGTGTGGTTCTAAAAATAAAGTTAGTTTCTTTTGACAAGTGGCTCCTGAATTGTGCCCAGCCAGACTGCGGCAGAAGTCGAGGAGTGGGTGTTGGCACTGGCACCATCTGGGCGACAGCTGTGGCGCTGTACCTCGCCCCAGCCTCCTCGGGCTGCGGACCTCCCTGCAGCAGCCCCTTCCCTGCCCAGCCCCCATGGTGAGCCCAGGTCCATCCACTCCTCCCAGAAGTCCCCACTCAGCCCCGAGCAGGAGGCCTTTCAGGGCCCAGGTGTCTGCAGACCTCCGCGCCTGCAGCGCCCACCCTGGCTGGAGGCGCTGCCGCCCAGTGCTGCTGGTGAAGGGCCTCGGCTCTGCCCCGGGACTCCTCCCGTGTGCAGCCTGCAGCCTGCGGGGGCCTCCGCTGTTCTGAGGCGCCTCCTGCTCTGTCCTGGGAGTGGAAAGCCACCTCCCAGATTTGCCACCTCCTAGATTTGCCACCTCCTAGATTTGCCACGCTTGAGAAGCCACCAGCACCCGCCCTGCGGCCCGTTCCCGCTGCTCTGCACCCACCAGGGTGTGGATGCTGGAAAGCACCCTGGGCTCAGGACATTCGACTCTACTCTGCACTGAAGGGAGAAGGTGGCCGAGACCTCAGGGGCTCTGTGTTCCACAGTAAGGACTAAAGCTGCCCTAACATCCCGCCTGTGGGTCAGCCCCTGGGCCTGCAGCCTCTTAGAACAAACAAGTAACCGCTGAAGCATCTGTGCAGCCCGGACACCCCTGGACTTACCCTCAGGGGCCAGCCCCAGGAGCTGTTTACTCACCAGCCAGCCTCTCTGGAGGAAGTTGACCGCTCAGGAATCACGAGGGTGGTTTCTGAAACCACTCAGATGTTTTGGGGAAAGTTGGAGAGTCCGAGGCACCGTGAGAGGTGGTTATGCCAGGACTGGGTGCTGGCCAGGAATTTGAGTGGGTCAAGCAGTAGTTGCCCAGTTGTCCTGTGCTAGGACAGAGTGGCCCCCAGAGCTGCAGCCTTGAGGGTCGAGTGGACACCACCCTGTTCCTGCCGAGCAGAGCCGGCTGGCAACCTTGGCCCGAGAATATGGCCACACACTTTAACAGGATAAGGCACTCTATGGCCTGGTGGCTGTTGACAAAACGTTTAACCCTCTAAAAATCTGAAGGAAAAATGAAGAATTGATCTGGGCTTGGTGGTGTGCACGTGGAATCCCAGCAGTTCCAGGGCTGAGGCAGGAGGATCGAGAGTTCAAGGCCAGACTTGACCATCTGAGCAATGTAGTTAGACCCTGTCTCAGAATACAATAAAAAGGGCAGAGGATGTAGCTCAGCGGTGGAGCACCCCTGGGTTCAGTCCCAGGAAAACACACGCAGAAAATAAAAAGAAAAATTGTGAGACCGAGGAATGACGGTGGAAATGGACTGTTTGACAGCCTCTGAGCAGGAAGGTCAAAGGGCCTCTCCCCCAGGTCAGGGATCCCTGTGCATCCTGGACACTTGCCGAGGACAGGCACCTTCTCATATCCTCAGTTCTTTTTGTCCTCGGAGGCAGACTCGTCCTCCACGACACACACCCCGGAGCCAAAGCCTGCTCTTTGCACAGGGCTGCCTGAGGGCGTTTGCACAGGGACCCTGGGCCTCTCCAGGCCTCCCTCCCTCTGGCTGGGATGAGCCCTGCAGCTTTGGGAAAGGAGGCTCTGGAGGTGGGAGAAGACGGGGGCCATGCAAGCCCTGGGCTCCTGTGCCCCGCAGAGCCCCCAACCCTGCCCACCTGGGTGCAGCTCAGGGCCACTCTGGACCTCCTCCCACTGCATGCAGCCAGCCTGGAGCGTCCCCCTGAATGTGGCTCTGTGTGGGATGGAGGAGGCCCACAGCCATGGCAGGTGACCCTGCCCACCCCACCCCCAGGACTGCAGCCCCATCTCCAGCCCGAACCAGCTGCTGCCTGCCATGTGGTCAGCTCAGGAGCCAGGGGCATCTCCAACTTGACAGAGACCAGGTGGGCTCCTCAACCTCTGGCTGTTCTGACTTCAAGAGGACAGGTGGACAAGGACCCTCAGGGCAGCAATTCCCAGGCTGTTAAGACCCTTCCCCGGGGCCGGGGCTGGGGCCGGGGCCGGGGCTGGGGCTGGCACTCAGTGCAGAGCGCTCGCCTAGCATGTGTGAGGCCCTGGGTTCGATCCTCAGCACCACATAAAACAAATGATGGCATTATGTGCAGGTTCCAGTGTGTAACAACAAATCCCATCTTGTGTACAATTAAAATGCACTAAAAAAAAACGTTTTTAAAAGAAACTCCCCCACCCCCGCCTCTTCCCGAACGGTTATAAGCAGGGGTGACAGCGAGTGATAATGTCCTGAGGAAGCTGTTGCCTTCACAAAAGGGCCATTGTGTGGAAGGCGGTGTCGCAGGCAGGTTGGAAACTACAGGATTCCTAGAAGCTCAGTCCCTAAACCGGAGCAGGAGGACCACTTCCCAGGGCAGCTCTCTCTCCATCTCCACACTCCTCCCAGGAGTGAGTCCTGAAGACCCAGGCTGGGCCCTGCTCTTTTTTGTCCCTTGTCACCAGACACTGATGTGTCAAGCTGAGTAGAAATAAAACTATGTAGGGACAAAGGGTGGCTCTCCAGCTGCCATTCCTCTGCAGAGTGGAGTAGTGCTCTGGGGTCAGGCCCAGGTTCAAATCCCTCCTCTGCCATTTATCAGCCAGTAGTCTTGATTGTTTTCCATGATGCCCTGGCCTTGAGATTTGGGAGGAACACTGGAGGAACATAGTGTCTTGGTCCATTTTCTGTTGCTATAACAGAGCACTTGAGTTGGGGTAAGTTACAGAGAAAAGAGGTTCATTTTGTCTCAGTTTTGAAGGGCAGGAAGTCCAAAACTGCATGGTGACATCTGGTGAGGGCCTTGTGCTGCTTCAACTTGAGGCCGAAAATTGTATGCGAAGTGGGTGTACCTGGAGGGACAGAGCGTGAGGGGCTGCCTTACTTTGTAACAACCTGCTCTGGGGTAACGAACTCAGACCCCAGGTGCGAGAACTCACCTGAGAGAATTAATGGGGTCCCACGAGAGTGTGGCGAATGATCAAAACACCTCTTAAGCTCCCCGCCTCCCAGTGGGGCCGCAGCGACAGTTAAGTTTCACTATGAGTTCTGGAAGGGACCAACCCTGTCTCCGTTTCCGCCTCTGAAATGGGGATGGCAGCCTCTGCCTGGTAGGGTCGTGGGACTTCTCTGAGGTGTCACCTGACACGTGGCTTGCGCTCACTTATTAGCAACTGTGTTCTCCCTCAGCCCGTGGCCACTTGCCCCTGAATGACCCCTTCCTGCAGCATCAGCTCCCTCCTTCTGCTAAGGGGTCACCTTTGAAAAGCACTGAACTCGGAACATTTGTCTCCCAGAAAACCATTATAGCTGGTGGTGGGTTCCAAAGCTGCCCCCCAGACCTTCTGCTCTGTTCAGTTGAACCAGGGGTTTGGGTAGCCTGGACACTTGGCCTCCCGTGGCGTTGGGTCATGTGGAGCGTCCACAGTGGACAGGCCTCCTCTTGCTCTCCGTGCTGCCGAGGATCCTTCAGATCAGTCAGGACTGGCTGTTTGCTGGCCTCTAAACTCTGGGCACGTTTGTGAGGTGCTGCAGGCTTCTCTGGAGGGAACCGATCATGATTCTGGAATATTCCAGTCTGTACTGCATTGCACTTGAGATCTGCAGAGACTCCTTGGCACACAGACAGGCTCGCTCATGTCGCCCAGCAGGTGGGCAGACAGTGGTGCCCCATAAGGGAATCTGGGAGCCGGATCATGCTGTGTGCTTCCAGGAGCCCCAGTCTGGGCTCCAGGGCAGGGTCCAGAGGGGAGGGCTCAAGGAATTGGGGGAGGCCGCCCTGTGGAATTGCCCCTTTGAGCTCTGCCTGAATGATGTAAAAGCCAGCGAGATCTCCCTAAGTTGCTGATGCTGGCCTCAAACTTGCGATCCTCCTGCCTCAGCCTCCTGAGTTATTGGGATCACAGACATGCACCAATGGGCCTGGCTCAAGGTCTAGAAGGTAGGGAATGGTCAATGCAAAGGCCCTGAGGTGGGAAAGCCCCGGCCTCAAGATTCGGGAAAAACAAAGGGCGCACCAGGTGGGCGAAGGAGGCACGAGGGGGAGGCCTGGTCATGGGCAGCTGGTGGGGCAGATGTATCAGAAGAACACCACTCTGTTTCTTTGTGTTTTCCTCCTGTTAGAACAATAAACATCCTAGTATTATCCCAGCCAAGAGCTAGAAGGGCCAAGCCATGGGCGCCAGCCGTTGTGTTAACCTATTTCGGAGGGAAGTGGGGGGCGCTGGCCGCACCCACTGGTGGCCAGGAAACAGTTGGATGCATTTTCTCAGAAGGTACCGAGAGCCAGACCGCATTCCTGGTTATGTTGCTGCAGGAGGTGAGCAGTCGGTGGGTCTTGGTTCCTCTTCTTCGGGTATCTTCCAGGGAGAGCGAAAACCAAACCGGAAAGTCCTGGGGCGGCTGGTGGCCCTTGTCGGGCTTCGGCCTGGCGTCTGCTCTCAGAGGCATGAGCCTGGGTTGTCTTGGCCTCATGAAGTCAGTGTGGGCCTCACCTTCTTCCTTAACCCTCCAGCCCTCGTGGAGGATGTGCCTCGACGGTGGCCTGAGCTGGGCCACGGACAGATGGCCATCGGGGTTCAGCCTCCAGTCGGCCAGTCCCCGGCAGTTCTCAAGCTGAACCCTTGCGCCTTTCACCTTGGGGTTCCTGATCTGCAAAATGGACCTGATACTTGCCTTGCAAGAGGCTGAGCGGCCACGTGGACGCGGGGCCCTGCCCAGAGCCGAGCACCTATTCTGTGTCCAGCAAATGATAGGTCAAGCCACGTTCTTCGAGAGCTCAGGTTTGCCCTGCCCTCTGCACATCCTCTGAGCATCTGGGCTTCGTAATGGTAGTCCTGAGAGCTGGTCAGCCTGGGTAGCAGCGTTGGCTTTCCACACGGAGGTTCAGAGAGGTGAAGCAGCTGGCCCACGGTCACACGGCTGGGAAGTGCAAGA